GAGCAGAAAACAGCCAAAGGACACAGATGGGTCTTCAACACAGCAAGAAAATCCCGCACCCGGAGGCGGGCTTCAGCTGGCCCCTAAACACAAATTTGTACTAGATCAGTGAAAATGGACTTCACACTTAACTCCAAACATATAAATGAACTAAAATTAAAAAACATACAAGACTAACAAAGGCCAGAGGCTCCTTACTTGGGACAGGCGCAAAAATGCACATTAATGAGACATAAGGGTGTGTTGTCAGTTTCCATCTGTATAACCTGTATTCTATTGCTCCCATCAACCATAACTTAGATTTTGTCATTCATCTCTTTTTTTCCAAAGCATGGCTACACCAATATAGGCTCTACGAGCAATCATACTCAATTCTGGATTTTCTGATTTTCCGTGTTAGGCGCAACATTTTGGAAGTTTTGGTCCTCGGTGCTCTTCGGCTTTGTACATGTTTTGGCTTTCAAGATTTTTTCATCTGAGCGTCACTGGATGGTCTTGTGTGGACGAGACGCACGTCTGGCGTATTGAATTTTAAGCCTAGTACCTTTTGTTAGCTATTATTCGTGTGTTTCTTTGTCCTATATGTTCTCCCATTTATTTGTATTGTGGTCCTGTCATGTGATGTTGTCGTTTTGGTGTTGTGTTTGACGTTGCCATTTAAGCGGGAGGTTTGGCATGCCACAAAACCAGGTTCAACCCACCATTTTTTCTTAAAATGTCCTGTACCAAGTCAGGAAAATGGCCATTGTTATATTATAGTTCGTTTCTGTGTGTGTTACATTTTAATGTTGTGTTTTTGTTGTGTCGTTGTTCTCCTCTTATATTTGATGCGTTCCCCTCAGTTTTAGTTTGTAACCCGGATTTGTTTTTATCTCTATCGATTTATGAGTTTCGAACAGCGGTATACTACTGTTGCCTTTATTTAAAAAGCCAATGCTCTTGTAGACAGCACAAATCTAATTTCCTGAAGGATTGTTTTAAATATGTCATGTTCCCTTTTACACTTTGCACATTGAAAGTTTATTTCTGTTCCCCGGCCTATCTCTAAAAAATGGTTCTTGTTCTCCTTTGATGGTCTCATGTTTGGTATAGTGTTTTTTTGGCAATCTAATCTTTGTATTTTGGCCATGGCTTTCATTTTCAGCTGATCTTTGTGTTCGCAAGGTTTCATTAATAATCCCTTTGACTTGGGTATTTTTTGTAATATTTTTCTAGTACATCCTTGCCATGTATGTTGTTAACGCGGATTTGTTCAATTTTTATAAGAGGTGATCCATGGTATCTTGATGGTGCATTCATGTACATTTCAGCTCCTTGGGCTTTTCTCACAGCATCATAGTCTTGTATACATGTTCTGTTTTGTATATAGCTGGGAGGTTCACTATTCTTCCGGCTGTAACCTCCATTGCTGGCTCTTTGTGTTCCCATACTGTCACATTGCTTTTCCATTTGCTGATTGTTTTGGCGAGCCGAGGTTTTATTTTGATCATTATTAATATGATGTCTGTTTGATGAGATTTGATCCTGTACATTATTAATAGGATGTATGTTTGATGAGATTTGATCCTGTACCATGTGTACATTATTAATAGAATCTCTGTTTGACGAGATTTGATCCTGTCCACTGTTAATAGGATGTCTGTTTGCTGCATGCCTAGATGAATTATAAACTTCATCATGAAGCTTAACATTTGTATCTTCCTTGTTGATTTTCTTGTCTAATCTATCAGTAATGATTTGCTGCATTTCTAACAGTGAGACTTTGTTTTTTTTATTAATTCCATCATTTCCATTTAGTGTCCCATTTTAATTTAATAAAGGCAACAGTAGTATACCGCTGTTCAATTATATATGCATCGTTTTACCTATATAATAATATTTCTGTTGGCCAGGTCATTCAAATAAATTGTTATTCCTTGTGTTTTCCTTTTTTTTCTCTTTTTAATGTTGTCACTATTTTCTTTTTATTACTTAACCAAACGTTGAACACAACCACCAATAACGGGTTGTCTGATGCCTCTGAAAATTTGAAGGCAGATAGATCTTGACCTGATGAACATTTATACCTCCGTCAGATTTGCTCTAAATGCTTTAGTTTCAGAGATATAAGCCAAAAACTGCATTTTACCCCCATGTTCTATTTTAGCCATGGCGGCCATCTTGGTTGATGGGCGGGGTCATCGGATACATCTTTTAAACTAGATACCCTAAGGATGATTTAAGCCAAGTTTAATTTTTTTTGGCCCAGTAGTTTCAGAGGAGAAGATTTTTGTAAAAGCTAACGGACAAAGACGACGGACTACGGAGGACGGACGCCAAGTGATGAGAAAAGCTCACTTGGCCCTTTTGGGCCAGGTGAGCTAAAAATCATTAAAAAAAACATATTTTAATACATTGTCTAATTCGCAGCTAATACCCTAACAAGGATTTATATAGTAAGATACTTACTACTTACTATATAAATCCTTGACCCAGACAAAACGCCACATGTGGAGCAGGATCTGCTTACCCTTCCGGAGCACCTGAGTTTTTGATGGGATTCGTGTTGCTCAGTCTTTAGTTTTCTATGCTGTGTTTTATGTACTGTTGTTTGTCTGTTTGTCTTTTTTTTAGCCATAGCGTTGTCAGTTTATTTTTGACTTATGAGTTTGAATGTCCCTTTGGTATCTTTCGCCTCTCTTATACTTACTACTTACTATATTAATCCTTGACCCAGACAAAAGGGAAATAATAATTTGCTCAAATATTGATTTCCTAAATAGTTTAAGTTTTATCTTTCAATGGGAGTTCAATATCTAACACATAAAATCATAAACACTTAGGTGTAACTCTTTCCCAGGACTCAAAGTGGAAAGAACATGTAGAAAATATTGTTAAAAAGATTACAAAAACATTTTAGAGTCTTCAGAAAATTAAAATTTTAAATCTTAGATGAATAGACAGAACCAAGAAAAAATGTATCTAGTCTGTATTTGTCTTTTCTTCGAGTATGCTTGTGAATTGTGGGAGAACTGTGGTATTTGATTAAAACACTGCAACTGCAAGCTGCAATGATTTTAACAGTATTGCCAATATTTACTTTTACCGAAAATCTATATTAAGAGACTGGCTGGGAACCCTTACAAAGTAGAAGAAACAGAAGAAAACTACAATTATTTTATAAGATATACAATGGTCTTGCCCCACAATATTTGGGTGATTTAATTCCCACCATCTTTACAAAATGCAACTGTCTATCCACTGTGCAATGGCAATGATTTAATCACCAGCTTTTGTAAACTCTCCAAAACAAATGTTTTATTTATTTCTTCGTCAATCAGAGAATGAAACAAATTTCATAATTCTATCCGTACCCTTGATACCATATCCAAGTTCCCAACTCTTTGTTGAATAATACATAAGAAACAAAGACTGTTCCTAGGCATTTCATGTATGATCCCCGGAAATGAAAAGTAACCTTATCACAGCTGCTCTGTTCAGCCTCATTTCTAAATAACAACCTATTTAAATCAAATATAATTCTAACTAACGACCTATTTAAATCAAATATAATACCAAAGAGTCAAAATTGTGAATGAGGTTCTCCTCGTGAGGATTCATTTCATTTGTTCTTTGGTTGCAATAAATACAACGGTATTAGGAAACATCTACTAACTAACATTCATTGTATTAAATTAATAAACAGCTGCGCCATGAGCGCATGATATGCCCGTCGTCTTGTGTGTGAATTTTTATGCAATAATCATAAATAGTTTCTGACATACGGCCTGACATGCGAAAAGCCCCTTTTTTTTTACAAAAAACTCAATATCTCTAAAATAAAATTTTGAATCAAAACCAAAAAGTATACAGATCTTTAGATTAATATAACTAAGAAGTGTGTAAAATTTTAAGCAATAATCATAAATCGTTTTTGAGATACGGTGTGACATGTGAAAAACCCCTCCCCCTTTTTTTACAAAATACTCAATAACTCAAAAATAAAATTTTGAATCATCACCAAAAAGTATACAGATCTTAAGATTAATATAACTAAGAAGTGTGTAAAGTTTTAAGCAATAATCATAAACTGTTTTTGAGATATGGCGCGACATGTGAAAAACCCCTCCCCCTTTTTTAACAAAATACTCAATATCTCTAAAATAAAATTTTGAATCATCACCAAAAAGTATACAGATCTTAAGATTAATATAACTAAGAAGTGTGTAAAGTTTTAAGCAATAATCACAAACTGTTTTTGAGATATGGCGCGACATGTGAAAAACCCCTCCCCCTTTTTTAACAAAATACTCAATATCTCTAAAATAAAATTTTGAAACATCACCAAAAAGTATACAGATCTTAAGATTAATATAACTAAGAAGTGTGTAAAGTTCAAATTAATAATCATAAATTATTTTTGAGATACGGTGCGACATGTGAAAAAAAACACACCCCTGTTTTAGTTACAAAGTCCCGTAACTGAAAAAGTTGTAATCTTATTTTCACCAAAAAGTATACAGATTGTTTGATCATCATAAGAAACAACTATTTAAAGTTTCATGAAATTTGGATAAGTCTTTCTGATGTTACGGTGCGACATGTTTACGCTGGACAGACGGACGGACGGACGGACACCGGACATTTGTATACCATAATACGTCCTGTCAAAAATTGACGGGCGTATAAAAACCAATCTCAAGTTGCTCATTGAGGGTAGCCAAAATTTATCATACGAGGAAACTGAAATCTTAAAATAATTATTCGAATTGTTATATTAGACTTCAAATAAATGGGTATGGGTATGCTTATTGTTGAAGGTGGAACGGTGACCTAAAATGTTGATATCAGTGTCATTTGGTCTCTTGTGGAGAGATGTCTCAATGGCAATAATACCATATCTTCTTATTTTTATAAGACTTCAAATAAAGTTGGTTCAACTTGTATCCGGTCCCATGTGTCTCTTTGAGCAAATGATATTAATTATAAATTATAAAATATAATAAAAGAAAACAGTTAGGTTAAAATATAAAACAATAAATATATGATTTATTTTAAAAATAACTTTGGTCACATTTCTGTACAAATTTCGCTATGGGTTTAATCATTGTCCCCATAGTATTTCTCATTGTAGATCTGGTACCAGGTAGCATCCTTCTCATTGTAGACAATAAAAGGGAAGCACCTGTAAATAAAAATTCACAAATAAATACTTTTATCTCTTAAAATAATTTACAGTACTTAGTAAAATGTTATGAGGTAATTAATATTACTTTGACACAGATTTCATACATGTATTAAGTATAAAAGCATTTATTTAATGAGTAATTGGTTGTATTGTTTATGATCTTAAATTGATGGAGAGTATTTTGAATGCATTAACATAAATTAGACCCTATCAACTTCAAAAAGATATAATGTCATATCAAATGATATTAATATATTGAAAACTGTGTATCAATGAAGCATTCTGATATTTCATATTTTCTTATTACAGCTGAAACCATACAAGTGTTTGTTAGATAGCTATGTTTAAATTCTTTTTCTTACAATAAAGGTGTGCAGGTTTCAACAAACATTAGAAATAAGCATTTGACATTCAAAGTTTGACATGTGTAATCAATTGAATACAAGATAATAACATAAATCATATTTTACAAAAAGTTTTGTTTTTAATGATACAGTTCTTATGTCTTCTCACTTAAGTTGGCTTCAGTGTAAATAAAATTCGTCAAATAGAAGCCTGAATGTACAATAGTATGTTTTTTAATTTTAGTTCATTTATGTGTTTAGGAATTTTGTTGACCTAATTTATTTCAGTTGCTTAGAAGAAACATCAACTTTGAAAGTTTACAAAAAGACCATAATATGAACAATGAATGTATTAATTTCATGAAACATTTTTTGGAAACAGAGAATTTCTCACCTTGAAGCAATGCTGGCAATTGTATTTTATTTTTATTTGTTTCTAAAATGAATGGATATGGAATGAATATTTAAATATTTACAACAGTGTTTAGTATTGTCATTTGGAGAAGTACTTTTGATGCTTGTCCCATCATACTTGCCTATTATTCATAGTTTTTAGTTACCTTGGCGGTTTGTTGCAGGTCCATCCATTGATTCATACCTATCACTATTGTTTGTCAGTAGAGCACTATAATCATTTAATCTATTTATTCCTATGGACTCAGTGTTGAAACCATTTGTATCTTGATGGTCACTTGCAATGGAATCAAAGTTCAGACCCTGATCATATCCACTATCGTGCTGAGAATTCGAATGTCCATCTTTTGGACAAACAAACCTTTTAGTATGTTCAGGTTGACTATCCTTGGTCTCAGTTTTAAGTGAATCAGTGCTAGACTGTAACAGACACAAAAAGAAAATATATTTACTTATTTGGGATGTTAACATATATTTAATCCTTCTAAAAGAAGTTCCTGTGGAAACATCGTTATAAACAATGCTATTATATCTGTTCCTGTTGGAAGAAATATTTTCTACCCTTTATTATGTCAGAAACAATTACTGTAATATTTCATCCATTGGATTAATATTCCAGAATATTTCGTCCATTTTGAACTAATATTATAAAGGAACTTCTATTCCATGACATTGGTAGTACAGATGGATGGGTGGACATGTGTTTTCACAAGCAGGGGCTCCAGCTGTTTCCATGACAGTGGTAGAACAGGAGATGGGATGGGTGGACATGTGTTTTCACAAGCAGGGGCTCCAGCTGCTTCCATCACATTGGTAGTAAAGGATATGGATGGGTGGACATGTGATTCCACAAGCATTGGGCTCCAGCTGCTTCCATGACATTGGAAGAACAGGATATGGATGGGTGGACATGTGTATTCACAAGCAGGGGCCCCAGTTGCTTCCACGATATTGGTAGTACAGTAGATGGATGGATGGACACCATGTGTTTTACAAGCAGGGGCCCCAGCTGCTTCCATGACATTGGTAGAACAGTAGATGGATGGGTGGGCATGTGTTTTCACAAGCAGGGGCTCCAGCTGCTTCCATGACATTGGTAGAACAGGAGATGGATGGGTGGACATGTGTTCTCACAAGCATGGGCTCCAACTGCTTCCATGACATTGGTAGAACAGGAGATGGACGGGTGGAAATGTGTTTTCACAAGCAGGGGCTTTAGCTGCTTCAATGACATTGGTTGAACAGTAGATGGATGGGTGGACATATGTTTTTTTCACAAGCATGGGCTCCAACTACTTCCATGACATTGATAGAACAGGAGATGGATGAGTGGACATGTGTTCTCACAAGCAGGGGCCCCAGCTGCTTCCATGATATTGGTAGTACAGTAGATGGATGGGTGGACACCATGTGTTTTACAAGCAGGGGCCCCAGCTGCTTCCATGATATGGGTAGTACAGTAGATGGATGGATGGACACCATGTGTTTTACAAGCAGGGGCCCCAGCTGCTTCCATGATATTGGTAGTACAGTAGATGGATGGGTGGACACCATGTGTTTTACAAGCAGGGGCCCCAGCTGCTTCCATGATATGGGTAGTACAGTAGATGGATGGATGGACACCATGTGTTTTACAAGCAGGAGCCCCAGCTGCTTCCATGATATTGGTAGTACAGTAGATGGATGGGTGGACACCATGTGTTTTACAAGCAGGGGCCCCAGCTGCTTCCATGATGTGGGTAGTACAGTAGATGGATGGATGGACACCATGTGTTTTACAAGCAGGGGCCCCAGTTGCTTCAATGATATTGGTAGTACAGTAGATGGATGGGTGGACACCATGTGTTTTACAAGCAGGGGCCCCAAGCTGCTTCCATGATATGGGTAGTACAGTAGATGGATGGATGGACACCATGTGTTTTACAACCAGGGGCTCAAGCTGCATCCTTGCAATAACCTAATAATAGTTCAACCAATGTTAACCAAAAAGGTTTAAATACAATGTATGTTGTTTCTCATACCTAAGGGAGGAAAAGAATTGTTTTGAAAATTTTCACATTAGCTGTTCAGGAGTTATACCCCTTGATTGCTTTAACAATGAGACATTGACAGCCTCTTGCAATGTTGTTGAGTTGCTGTTTCATTAATGTATAACCCATATCTTCATTCATTCACATTTATCACTGAAGTAAACAAGTTTTATATTTTGTGGAATGATAAACATTTTCTTGTGTGAGAAGATTTACCCAGTGTGTGTTCCATTGTTAAAGGGATCAGCCAGTGTCTTGTTATCCAGTAGATTCAGAAATTATTGTGAGGTTTTGATTAATGTGAATAATGTGATTGGGTGAGTATCCCAATAATAAGAAATCGAATTTTAATATCTGATACATATATCTTTATGCAGCCTTTGAAATCCAAAAACCACGATGATTCTTTATATGTGGGATTGAATAAAAAAATATCATGCAACATTCATATAAAATTTACTTTATGTTTTTTTAAGTTAATGTAGAATATAATTGCTTGATCATTATTGATTATAATTGCCATCACGAGTTGGTTGACCGCTATGGAATAACCATTTACAGATGATATCGGATATGTTCCTTATGTCGTAACTACAATACCCTTCCCTTTTCACTAATGTGACCTACCGAATTAGACTATTTACCGGATTTGTAATAACATAAGCAACAAGACGGGTGCCACATGTGGAGCAGGATCTGCTTACCCTTCTGGAGCACCTGAGATCACCCCCAGTTTTTGGTGGTGTTCGTGTTGCTTAGTCTTTAGTTTTCTATGTTGTTTCATCTGTACTATTATTTGTCTGTTTGTCTTTTTATTTTTGGCCATGGCGTTGACAGTTTGTTTTCGATCTATGAGTTTGACTGTCCCTCTGGTATCTTTCGTCCCTCTTTTTCAATTCAGATTAATATCTTATACATGAATGCTTAAAATAATGTGTTTAAAAAAACTTGAATAAAATACAGTGTATCTTTTAATGGAATCAGACTGTAATTTTGGTAAAATTTGGTTTCATTTTTTTATGCGTATAAAATTCTGAAGTAATTTGTTGGTTAAACTAGTATACATTGTTCGAAAGTTCTTAATCTGAAAATAGTTTAATCATTGGTTGAAGATGTTATTCTCTGTATATTCATACACAAAGATTGCATGAATTTCTATTGACCTTAATAAGCAGATGTTCTATTAGCTCTAATTACACATGTTCAAGTGGAATAACATAACAAATTTGTCAATCAATCACATCAAAATATTGATTAAATGGATTGATTTGATTGGTGGCTGCTTCAAGTCTGACAAAAACACTATCCTGTTTCATACTAGACTGACATGCTGAATTTCTATTGAAAACAAACATTGCATTCCTATAATGAATTTCTATTAATCACAACCACTGAAATCCCATAGGAAAAGTTTTCATTTAACAAGAACTTGTTACATAAGAATACAAGTTGCCATGAACCACAGACATTGGGACCCTAGAGGAAAGTGCTCATCAAACAAAAAGATAAGAAAAACTCAACCATATGTTTTCGTCAATTACAACCACAGAAATCCTAGAATAAAGTTTCCATGAACCACATCCACAAGAATCCTAGGACAAAGTTCCTATCATTTGCAAACCACAGGAATCCTAAAATAAAGGTTTTAATTGACCATAAACTCAGGAATCCTAGAACAAATAATTTAATGTACTACAACCACATTAATCTTAGAACAAAATGTCCAAGAACAGCAACACCAGGAATACTAGAACAAAAGTGCCTATCAACCACAGAAATCCTAGAACAAAAGTGCCTATCAACCACAGGAATCCTAGAACAAAAGTGCCTATCAACCACAGGAATCCTAGAACAAAAGTGACTATCAACCACAGGAATCCTAGAACAAAAGTGACTATCAACCACAGGAATCCTAGAACAAAAGTGCCTATCAACCACAGGAATCCTAGAACAAAAGTGCCTATCAACCACAGGAATCCTAGAACAAAAGTGACTATCAACCACAGGAATCCTAGAACAAAAGTGACTATCAACCACAGGAATCCTAGAACAAAAGTGACTATCAACCACAGGAATCCTAGAACAAAAGTGACTATCAACCACAGGAATCCTAGAACAAAAGTGCCTATCAACCACAGGAATCCTAGAACGAAAAGGCCCATCAACCACAACCACAGGAATCCTAGAACAAAAGTGCCTATTAACCACAACCACAGGAATCCTAGAACAAAAGTGCCTATCAACTACAGGAATCCTAGAACAAAAGTGTCTATGAACCACTAGAACAAAAGTACCTATGAACCAACACCATGTGAATCCTAGAACAAAAGTGCCTATCAACCACAACCACTTGAATCCTAGAACAAAAGTGCCTATCAACCACTAGAACAAAAGTACCTATGAACCAACACCATGTGAATCCTAGAACAAAAGTGCCTATCAACCACAACCACTTGAATCCTAGAACAAAAGTGCCTATCAACCACTAGAACAAAAGTACCTATGAACCAACACCATGTGAATCCTAGAACAAAAGTGCCTATCAACCACAACCACTTGAATCCTAGAACAAAAGTGCCTATCAACCACTAGAACAAAAGTACCTATGAACCAACACCATGTGAATCCTAGAACAAAAGTGCCTATCAACCACTAGAACAAAAGTACCTATGAACCAACACCATGTGAATCCTAGAACAAAAGTGTCTATCAACCACAACCACTTGAATCCTAGAACAAAAGTGCCTATCAACCACAACCACAGGAATCCTAGAACAAAAGTGTCTATCAACCACAAACACAGGAATACTAGAACAAAAGTGTCTATCAACCACAACCACTTGAATCCTAGAACAAAAGTGTCTATCAACCACAAACACAGGAATACTAGAACAAAAGTGCCTATCAACCACAACCACAGGAATCCTAGAACAAAAGTGCCTATCAACCACAACCACAGGAATCCTAGAACAAAAGTGCCTGTCAACCACAAACACAGGAATACTAGAACAAAAGTGCCTATCAACCACAACCACAGGAATCCTAGAACAAAAGTGCCTATCAACCACAACCACAGGAATCCTAGAACAAAAGTGCCTGTCAACCACAAACACAGGAATACTAGAACAAAAGTGTCTATCAACCACAACCACTTGAATCCTAGAACAAAAGTGTCTATCAACCACAAACACAGGAATACTAGAACAAAAGTGTCTATCAACCACAACCACTTGAATCCTAGAACAAAAGTGCCTATCAACCACAACCACAGGAATCCTAGAACAAAAGTGTCTATCAACCACAAACACAGGAATCCTAGAACAAAAGTGCCTGTCAACCACAAACACAGGAATACTAGAACAAAAGTGTCTATCAACCACAGGAATCCTAGAACAAAAGTGCCTATCAACCACAACCACAGGAATCCTAGAACAAAAGTGTCTATCAACCACAAACACAGGAATACTAGAACAAAAGTGTCTATCAACCACAACCACTTGAATCCTAGAACAAAAGTGCCTGTCAACCACAAACACAGGAATACTAGAACAAAAGTGTCTATCAACCACAACCACTTGAATCCTAGAACAAAAATGTCTGTCAACCACAAACACAGGAATACTAGAACAAAAGTGTCTATCAACCACAACCACAGGAATACTAGAAAAACACTGGACACCTACAATAAGAGTTTCCAATAATGAACCACAAAACAGGAATCCTAGAATAAAAGATTTCATGAAAAACAACCACAGGGATCCTAGAACAAAAGTTTCCACAAACAACAAACACAGAAATCCTAGAACAAAAGATTTTTATGAAAAACAACTGCAGGGATCCTAGAATAAAAGTTTCCATGAATCACAACCACAGGAATCCTAGCACAAAAGTTTCTATGAACCACATACACAGGAATACTAGCACAAAAGTTTCCATGACCCACAAACAAAAAAATCCTAGCACAAAAGTTTCCATGACCCACAAACAAAAACAACTTAGAACAAAAGTTTTCATGAACCTCAAACACAGGATTCCAGTGGGAAATCTAGTGACAAAATATTACCTCCCCTGTAAACACAGAAATCTGGATCTTTTCAATGTTTGTCTCGTTTTAGTAAGGACGCTATTAATTATAAATTCAGAAGACAACATTCAGGTAAATAGTTATAATAAATGTAAATGAAATAAAAACAAAATTTTCATACAATGTTATCATTTCTTTCCTAACTTAGCAAACCACGAGTACACCAGGCTATAGGAGCTTTGTGTAAAATTGGTTTAAACTATTGCTATGCAAATAAATTTCAGGGGTATCAACTTCAAATTATTTTTTTATCGGCTGTATACCTCTCTGGAACACGCCAAGTATCAGTATATGTATGCAGCTCGATGAGAGAAGTTATGGGTAAAATTTGCAATGGAATCGATTGATATGCAGCAAAGATTAACTCTTTTAAAATTAAGTTACTAAGCAAATTCAAACGGACCTTATCCCAATATAAACATTGAAAGTGAATCGATCGAGAAGACCGCAAATTCATGGACAAAAATCGAGACAACCTTTTTCTTAGAATTGTATAAAACATAGTAAAATATTTTAACGGATAACCTACTTTATGAAAATATTTATCTTTAATTTTTTATCCTGCACAGACATGACTGTTAAAATGTTATATTGATGAAAAGACAATATTTCTATATGGAAAGTTCACTTGACAAGAGCAGACCGATGTACTAGAAAATTTGAGACGTGAAAATAGGTATATTTTGGGAAATTGTAACATGTTTAAAAGGACTATGTGGAATTTTTGACCTGAAAGATTTTTAGATTTTGTATGTTCATGATTTTTTCCATTTTTTTTTTATCAATATGCAGCAAAGATTGGCAGTTTTTAAATTTCAGTTTCACGAGCTTCTAATGCAATTATCTCTGTAAATAATAATCATAAAACATTATGTCTTTGCATGTATGTTTCTTATTACAACAGTTTAACAAATAATTTCTTTAAAATGTACAATTGTTGTATAGAAATAACTTTTGATCAGTATCGTCACCGGCATTGTTTTACTTCTGATTTTCTCGACTTTTTCATAAGTTGTTGTTCTTGTTCATCGGTTTAGCCACTGATTCATAAAACAAAAGTTTCCATAAACCACCAAACACAGGAATCCAAGAATAAAAGTACTTTAACAGTTTAAGATGTGTACCTTAGTATAAGTGAAAAAATTCTACTTTACTATTTTTTAGTTTGCTTCCTTAAATTCATACAACACATCCACCTATCCATTTGTTAATTCTATGTAAAAGAGTATTAACAGAAATACCAAATTCCAAGATAAATTCAAAAAGGGGGAATTCCATAAAACCTATCAAAATCAAATGGTCAGCTATATTAATCAGCAGAACGAATGGAAAAGTGTCATATTCCTGACTTGGTACATGCATTTTCAGAAGAATGGTGGGTTAAACCTGGTTTTATAGCTAGCAACCCTTCCACAAACTAAATGATTAGAGACAATTATTTTTTTACAAAAAATAGAATGGTGGGTTAAACCTGGTTTTATAGCTAGCAACCCTTCCACAAACTAAATGATTAGAGACAATTATTTTTTTACAAAAAATGAGCAACAATACATGATACCTGATTGTCTGTTGAGTTACTGATACTTTGACCACTGTTATCAGGTTCCACATCATTTCTGTTTAAACTACTGGAAGGATAATCTTCATCACCATTGTCTCTGCCAACTATATTCTGTAAAATAAATATTCAAACAAGTTCTTACTATTTTTTCTCTCTCAGATAATATAATAAAGTTTATGTTGAGGAGTCAGATAATATAATAAAGTTTATGTTGAGGAGTCAGATAATATAATAAAGTTTATGTTGAGGAGTCTGATAATATAATAAAGTTTATGTTGAGGAGTCAGATAATATAATAAAGTTTATGTTATGGAGTAAGGCTGTGAATAATGTTTGTTTTGTGCCAAATACATGACAGTCAGTTTAGTTTTTTCAAATGTATTTCCCCAATTTTTAACTGATTTTGCATTTTCTATTTTTTTATACCTCCCATGAGTTTATATTATTTCAATGACATATCACTTTTAATCTAAACAAACGTTTAAGAAGATATAAAATAAACCTTTAAATTTGTATCTGAAGAATGTTGTATGTATACAGGTGGTGAATTAGTCAAAGTTGCTGCACCATCAGGAGGCTCTCTACTAGCAGAAGTCTGCATTGTAGTACTTCTAGATGCTATTTCTTGAGCTCTAGTACCAGAAGTCTGCATTGTAGTACTTGTTGATGCTACTGCTTGAGCTCCTTGTGTCAGGACTATATTTTCCTCCATATTGTTCCCAGTAGTTGCCATTACTGTATTTGGAGGAGTGACCACTGATGGTGTCGGACCAACACCTGTCTGTGTTGTGCTTTGGTTGTTTTCAACATGTAGACTTGCTGTAGTTGTTGATGATGATGTTGGATTTGTTGCTATGGCACCAGGAGCTGAATTGTTAGAATTTAATCCATTTGTACTGTGCCTCTGGTATATAATTGAGCTGTCATTTGATTGTGTCACAGAAAATCCATGACTGTCCTGGTTGCCTCCACCTGATTGTTGATTTGAAGTATTTCCATTATCAGATCTATTTGTTGTATTTGGAATCACTGGTTGTAAGTTGTCAGTTGTTTCTGGAAGATCATGGGGTCCTGCATCTGTTTCAAGAATACTGTTTCCTGTCAAAAACAAAAAATTAATCCAATTTTGCAAACAAAACATTTAAGATATAAAAATTAGGAAATTTGGTTTGAATGCCATTGAAACAACTATCCACCAAATATCAAATGGCAGGGATTGTGAATACTTACAGCACTGACTTCAACAATGAACAAAACACATACTATATAATAGTTTATTAAAGGCCAAAATGTGAAAATGTGAGTGAGTTTAAAAAAAGAAAACCTATGGCCTGATTCATGCGACAATGATAAACAAAAACAAATATAGTAGACAACAACCATCACCAAAATAATTTGTGATATAATTCTATTAAATCTTTTACAATCATTACATTATGAAAATAAAATGCTTCGCTGGGCGCAGCTTGATACGACCGCAGAGGTCGAACCCTGAACAGTTGGGGCAGGTATGGACACAACATTCAAGCTTGATACAGCTCTGAATTTGGATTGTGATTAAATATTTGACACAGCATAGGTTTCTGACACAGAAAGAATGTGGTCTAAGAACTTCAATTTTTTTAATTTACCTATTATGGTCCAATGTCCAAAATCAAAATACATGGTTAGATTCAGCATATCAAAGAACCCCATATATTCATTTTTTGTTGAAATCAAACAAAGTTTAATTTTGGACCCCAACTTGGACAAACTTGAAAACTGGTCCCATAATCAAAAATCTAAACACATGTTTACATTCAGCATATCAAAGTACCCCAAGAATTCAATTTTTGTTAAAATCAAACTAAGTTTAATTTTGGACCCTTTGGACCTTAATGTAGACCAATTTAAAAAACGGGACCCAAAATTAAAAATCTAAAAACACGGTTAGATTTTGCATATCAAAGAACCCCAATAATTCAATTTTTGATGAAATCAAACAAAGTTTAATTTTGGACCCTTTTGACCTCAATATGAACCAATTTGATAGCAGGCCCACAAAATAAAAAATCTAAATACATGGTAAGATTCAGCATATCAAAGAACCCCATATATTCAATTTTTGTTGAAATCAAACAAAGTTTAATTTTGGACCCCAACTTGGACCAACTTGAAAACTGGTCCCATAATCAAAAATCTAAACACATGTTTAGATTCAGCATATCAAAGAACCCCATATATTCAATTTTTGTTGAAATCAAACAAAGTTTAATTTTGGACCCCAACTTGGACCAACTTGAAAACTGGTCCCATAATCAAAAATCTAAACACATGTTTAGATTCAGCATATCAAAGAACCCCAAAAATTCAATTTTTGTTAAAATCAAACTAAGTTTAATTTTGGACCCTTTGGACCTTAATGTAGACCAATTTAAAAAACGGGACCCAAAATTAAAAATCTAAATACACGGTTAGATTTGGCATATCAAAGAACCCCAATAATTCAATTTTTGATGAAATCAAACAAAGTTTAATTTTGGACCCTTTTGACCTCAATGTGGACAAAGTTGATAACGGGGCCCAAAAATCAAAAATCTAAATACATGGTTAGATTCAGCATATCAATGAACCCCATATATTCAATTTTTGTTGAAATCAAACAAAGTTTAATTTTGGACCCCGATTTGGACCAACTTGAAAACTGGGCCCATAATCAAAAATCTAAATACATATTTAGATTCAGCATATCAAAGTACCCTAAAAATTCAATTTTTGTTAAAATCAAACTAAGTTTAATTTTGGACCCTCTTGACCTTAATGTAGACCAATTTGAAAACGGAACCAAAAATTAAGAATCTAAATACACGGTTAGATTCGGCATATCAAAGAACCCCAATAATTCAATTTTTGATGAAATCAAACAAAGTTAAATTTTGGACCCCTTGGACCTCAATGTGGACCAATTAAAAAACGGGGCCCAAAATCCAAAAACTTAATACACGGTTAGATTCAGCATATTAAAGAACCCCAAGAATTCAAGAATAAAACCCCATTGAAATTGATCAAGAAATAAGCAATTTATACGAAGTATCTTCTGTTGCACAATACTGTGCAATTGAATATTTCTTGCTATTGTGCAATACTGTACAATTGACAATTTCTTGCTATTGCGCAATATTGTGCTATTGGATATTTCTTGCTATTGCGCAATACTGTGCAATTGAAGATTTCTTGCTATTGCGCAATACTGTGCAATTGAAGATTTCTTGCAATTGTGCAATACTGTGCAATTGAAAATTTCTTGCTATTGCACAATACTTATTATATAATAATTTACACATCCTGTTTGGTGTGTATCTCCTACCATATCATTATTATTTGCTTTTAAATATTAATCAGAAATAACCAACTTAAAATGGAAAATTTTAAAAGAAAAAAAAAAGGAAAAAAAGAAAAAAAAAGAAAAAAATAAATCCCCCCCCAAATTTTTTGAACCCCCTTATGATTCATCACCCCCAAACTCAATCCCAGCCTTCCCTTTGTGGTATGGTACCTTGCAGTACAATTTCAGAGAGATCCATACACTTGAACACAAGTTATTGTCTGGAAACTAGAAAAATGCTTATTTTTGGCCCCTTTTTGGCCCCAATTCCTAAACGTTTCGGGCAATTACCCCCAAACTCAATTCCAGCTTTCCCTTTGTGATATGGAACCTTGTAGTACAATTTCAGAAATATCCAAACACTTACAAGTTATTGTCATGAAACTAGAAAAATGCTTGTTTTTTGCCCCTTTTTTGGCCCCTAATTCCTAAAATTTTGAGGCAATTACCCCCAAAATCAATTACAGCCTTCCCTTTGTGATATGGAACCTTGTGGTACAATGTCAGAGAGATCCATACACTTACACACAAGTTATTGTCTGAAAGTTACAAAAATGCTTATTTTTGGCCCCTTTTTGGCCCCTAATTCCTTAACTGTTGGTACCATAACCCCCAAAATCAATCCCCACCTTCCTTTTGTGGTATTGAACCTTATGGTAAAATTTCATGGAGATCCATTCACTTAAACTAAAGTTAGAGTGCGAAAACCAATGTGTCTTCGGACGACGCCGGACGACGCCAGACGACGACGACGACGACGACGCCAACGTCATACCAATATACGACCAAAAAATTTTCAATTTTTGCGGTCGTATAATGAGGTAAAGATCAGGGGCCAACTGTGACTAGTTAAAGGGAGGCAAAAGTTGCATGTAGATTTGAACATCTTATGTTCAATAAATTTATATTGTATTATTATAAACTTTATCACACAACACTTACTTAGTAACACAAATATAAATATAAAGGAGAGACAATACCATTTAAAATGACAGCATTATAATAAGTAGATCAAACCACACCCACATTAGATGAGCATGCTACCAGGAGAACACCAATGCATTTCTCAAATTGGAAGAAGATGTATAAGAGATCTAAAACTTAAGAGTGAGGCTGACCTAGCCTATTAGTTTGATATTGTTTGAAACCAAATATCAAGAAATTATCACTGAACATGTGACTGATACATGAGATGGATATATGCATGAAAATGAGGTAAAAGTCAAGTGCCTCTTGTTACCAGTAAGATGGCATGAACATCTATAAATGTTGAATTTATAGACTATATGTTACTTGTTGTATAAGGTACTTTTATAAACTTTATAACAAAACTCTTAACACAGATAAAGATATGAAGGAGTCAACACTAGAATCGTGGTCAAGATTAAGTAATACTTGTCAAACTGACATCAAATTCTTAAAATGGTGTGAATACAGATACAATGTGATGAAATGCATGTCGATATATATTGAATTCCAATAATAGTTACTTAAACCTGCCTTTATATTCAAAGTGCTGTGAATAGATCAAATCTTTGAGACTTTAGCAGAATATAACAATTTAACATCAAACTTGTCAAAATTACTATTAAAATATAACTCTTTTATTGCAAATAAGTATTTAAATTAAAAAGATGTACTGTTGACTACTGATCACTTCTATCTTCAGTGGCAAATACTACATGCATATTAATAAGATAAGAATATACATCATGCTTTGTACAAAACTGACATGCTGAGTAGGACTTTTAATCATTAGCTCACATTGAAACGGTTGGCAGGATGTTCTATCACTCTGAGCTGACAACTTTGCTGTGTGCTGGTTATAGAAGAAGCAAATCCCAACTTTAAAGTTGAAAGATTTGAAACAGCTGAGGAATCACACCCATGGCCTCTCCCATATTAGGCCAGCTTCCATCAGGAGAGTACCAAGACAGTTCTCAAAAAGGAAGAAGATGCACAAGAGATCTAAAAATGTCTGACCTAGCATATAGGCTGATATAAAAGTTTGAAACCAAATATCAAGAAGTTATCACTTAACTTGCAGAAAAATTATGACTGATACATGTGATGGATGAGTCATGGATGTATGTAAGAAAATAGATTTGTCAAAAAGGAATAAGATGAATATAAGAGATCTGAAAATTAATGTATACTGTGGATTCTTTATTTTTCGTTGGATACCAATTTTTGTGGATTTCATGTCCACCCGGGAACCACGAATTCCAACGTCCAATGAATAACAAATTTTGTATAGGAATTTATGCAGACTTTGGCAAAACCACGAAATCAAATATCCACGAAAATGCAAGTTTTCCTCAATCCACGAAAATTGGTAACCCAAGAAAATAAATGAATCCACAGTAGCTTATCGTGATGAAGTTTCATGATGTTTGAAACAATTTAAAGTTAAAATTTGAATTTGCAGAGGAACATATATCTGGACCAGTGAACTGGCAGAGTTAAACCTGTGTTCCCTCTGCCTTTTTGAATGGGGATTGTAAAGGACCCCATGATTACACTATTGCACTGGATAAGGTGATAAAATCAATTTTACAAAGGCATTTCATTTTGGAGTCGCATGTCAAAAACATGATAATGTTATTTATACCATACTATTTGATAAGTTAAGTTATATATATAGTATGCCTTTTACAAATTAACGTATTTAATTCACGAAAAGTGCAGCTTTGAGTGGATTAAATATGTTAATGAGTAAGGCGTGGCTATATATGATTTGTAACATTAATGGGCTATGACACATGCCAAAGGTTAAATGCTGACAAAAAAAACTTTACTGTACTTTCAATATGTCAATCAAATAGTAGCATGATACTATATCTGATTTTCAGAAAATTAACACATGCAGCAGATGACAGTTGGATTTGTATTTCTGAAACAGGTACATTTAAATGAACTGTTGCTGTTGGATTCAGATTCGATAGCAATTTATGTGTTAGTGATTAGTTTTTTCTTTCCGAAAATTCTTGAAAAGGGGGGCGGGGGTGGTAGATGCAAAATTTTATTCGATGTTTAAGGAGTTTTAAAGGTGTGATAAAAAGGAAACATTTTCCAATATCAATATATGAGAGTAATTAATACTATTTTTTCAATCCCAACAAATGTAATAAGATCGGTGAATTGATTGGAATAGTTGAAGATTGCGTTTAAGGTCCAGGCAACAAATATTTGAAGCATGATCAATTCAGAGATAGGCCTTTATAAAATGGAGAAAACTACTAAACATCCAGTGACATTTATTTTTTTAAGAATATTATTAATTTCGACACGATAAAAACAGGAATCCAACCAAAATAACAGTAGGAAAATGTATAGTAATTTCTATTACATTTTTTTTTATTCTTTCATTATTTACTTCTCGAAGGAGGCGGAGCCAGACTGTGCATTAACAACTTCTGAGATGGAAGTTAGAACACTGGTTTAAGCTCCTCCCATTCTTTGCTATTCCAAATTGATGCGGTCAACAGCGGGATTGGAAAGTGCAATAACTAAACAAGAGTGCACACGCTGAAATGTCTCGCCTGCTTTACTGATCATTGATTTTATGTTGATAGTCCTAAATATAAAGCTTTACTACAAGTATCACATAAACTTATCATGATCCAAGAAAATGAGGCTAAGGTCAGATAAACCGGAAATACATGTACATCTTACAATCATTCCATTCACCAAATATACTTGACCTATTGCTTATAGTTTAAGAAAAACAGACCAAAATACAAAAACTTAACACTGAGCAATGAACAGTGAAAATGAGGTCAAGGTCAAATAAAACCTGCCAGACTGACATGTACATGATAAAATATTTCCATACACCAAATATAATTGACCTATTGCATATAGTATTAGAAAAAAAGACCAAAACACAAAAACTTAACTTTAACCTCTGAACCATGAAAATTAGGTCAAGGTCAGATGACGCCTGCCAGTTGGACATGTACACCTTACAATCATTCCCTACACCAACTATATTAGACCTATTGCTTATAGTATCTGATATATGGACTTAACCTTGTTCACTGATCCATGAAATAAGGTCGAGGTCAGATGAAAACTGTCTGACAGGCATGAGGACCTTGCAAGGTACGCACATACTAAATATAGTTATCCTATTACTCATAATAAGAGAGAAATTAACATTACAAAAAAATCTTCACTTTTTTTCAAGTAGTCACTGAACCATGAAAATGAGGTCAAGGACAATGGACATATTACAGATGGAAACTTCATAACATAAGGCATCTATATACAAAGTATGAAGCATCCAGGTCTTCCACCTTCTAAAATATAAAGCTTTTAAAAAGTTAGTAAACGCTGCCGGCGGATCACTATCCCTTTGTCAAGCTTTCTGCGACAGAAGTTGCAGGCTCGATAAAAATCATTCAGTTAACGCACTCCTCTAAAAACAGAAGTTAATTCACTTGAAGATCAAAGGAAAAATTACCATTCATGTAAAAAACTGTATTTTTCATATAAATTTGTGATCTACAGTCACTGACCGTATTTCGCCTTGTTTATGATGCCAACAATGCGTTACCGTAGAGTTTTATTTATGACGTCAATAAAGAAGACTGTCTTTTTTAAGCTGTCCAATTAAAATTCAAACATTTACCCAAATTATTAATTTGGAACAGTTGTGAGAGTTTCAGAATAAAGAAAATAGCCATACATAATGTTTTGAAATGTAAATCTTATTTGGACTAATTTGTACTCGCATTTTACCTGTTTCTAAGCCATGTACAAATAAATTATGTTTATCGAGACAATGTATTAACATTCCATATATCAGTAGTATTAAGAAAAGTGCCATACATACCTCTTTGTAAAGTGCCATACATACCTCTTGGTAAATTTGGTGGATTTGTTTCTGTAAAAAATAAACCAAGCTATGTACTCAATCCTTACTCCATAAACTTGTTTTACTGACATAACATCAAAAAGGTTTTTATCAAGCAGTAGAAAAATAAGATCTTGTTACCTGATGTAACTCTATAATAGCTCAGAATTTCACCATGTAAAAGCAGTCAGTAAATATGCAATATTTCTTCCAAAATTTTAATGACTGCAAATAATATTTTGAAAGTTTGTGAGCTTTAAAGGCAATTGCATATTGTAAATTTGTTACTAAATTACTGGAAATTTTTCATCATTGGATTAATACAACAGCAAACCAAATATCTAGTGAAAGTACCAGTTTAAAATCTCATTTGATAAGAAAACTTTACATTTGAACAATGAAAAGATGTCAAATTCACTGAAGCATCATTTAATAGGCATAGCCTAATATTCCCCTTTTAAAATTAAAATATACCGATGATATTGCAATAACATACCAAATATCAATAGTCTAGTTCTTTATTAACTCACCTTATCAGAATACTAAATCTTTATTTAATAAAGCAAATTTTTTTTTAGAAATGGTTTGGGCCATTTTATAAACCCCTAAAGGTACAATTACCATCATTTTCATATTCATATATATATTTTTATATGCTTTTGATTAAAGTTTACCTTGCACTCCAACAAGGAGATTATTTCCAGCAAGACCTGCTTGAGGGTGTTGTAAAGTTCCTCTGCTATATAGGATTGCATTTTGATAACCAGAAGTATTGTGTGTCATGGGAAAGCGGTCTGGTCCAGTATCCTGTACAGGATGTGTGACAGTATTCAAAAGCATTTTAAACTTTTCCCACTCCCTGTGTTCATTTTGCCAGTCAGCACTAAAGCATAAACTGTTCATAGTATTAAATTCATCTGGTATATGTTCTAAATCAATATACATAGCAATAAATCTTTTTGATTTATCCTGGTCTATCAATTTGGTAAATGCAGCCTGCGATTTGTACTTTCCCCAACAGTCACTTAAAAACCCTTTTGTTAATACAACAACAGTGAATCTTGAAGCTTTCACAGTATCAAAAAATTCACCAAATATATTACTTCCTGGTAAGGCATCACGGTCATGGTAATAAGTCTTTTCAAATCCCCATGTTGCCATTTTATCTACTGCAAACTTTACAACTTCAAAGGAAACTTCAAAGTCTCGGTTTTTCTTACGATTGTTTTTTAGCTTTGGTTTATTATAAATAAACATTGCATGGTAACTACATCCTCTTTCCATTGCATCTGCCATTATTTCATTCTAATGGTATCTGTTTCCAATATCAAATACAATATTTAAATCTTTTGAATTGAACATATTCTTTTGTAAATTGGCTGATTGAAATCTGCTACCAAGCACTTTCTCATGATGTAAAGTTCTTTGTTTCTTCCCAAAAGCAGCAAAAACTCAATCTGTAAAACAAAAATGTTGAATAAACACTAGCAGAACTTAAAATTTCATTGTGTTTGTGGCAATTGATGTTTATATATGAGTTTACATCACTATGTAAAAGTAGAAGATATAACCACTTTTTCTAATATTTGACTGTGGCAGTTTCCATGGTTACTGTTAAATAGTGAAGCATTCCATTTATTCTTATCTAAGGAGGTCTGTTTTTATCTTGATATTTTGGTGTGACCTCTTTAGCTCATTTGTAATTTGTAATGACCCAAAAATAACAGCTGTCAAGATAAAACAATGCAAATGAAAATCTCAAATTGCATAGCAGATTTCATTAGTTTATTGTCTCCTGTACATCCACTTTATATAACACAAAAAGATTTCATCAATAAAACTCACAGGGAGACAAAATTTTACCACTTTCAGATGAGACTGCCCCAACAGATCCATACCTTGAGGAGGCAGAGGAACCCACCATACCTGTATACACAGCAATACCACCAGGAAGAAGAAGACTATTGACAACACCACCATGAGATTAACCAGTGTAACTAGACCATAGAGATATAAGAAACCACCAAAGTTCTTTAAGGACTATGTTGTACCCAAACAGGTATGATCCAACAACCAGACAGCCAAACTGGTTACCAAAGATACACATGTTGGTGCCAAGAAAGGGGCATTTTAAGCCTTGGGGTGGAGTTGTCATGAACCATCCCCAGTCATGCGAAGCAATAATCAGTGGTTAATAACTTACCGAGGATTTCAAGTTTCAGTGAGAGAAAAAAAAACAGATTTGAATGACTCTGAAGTTATTTTCTACAGCAGATTATATTTTAAGGGTTGTACCATTTTAAATATGTGTAGCATTGAAAACTTTTACCACTGCAAACTCTTACCAAATTTGAACTGGGTATAACATGTCTAAAACATAAAAGGACCAAAACACTTCTGGTAGTATTCAATAATTACTTAATTAGTTTCACTAAGCTACTTGTTAATCATGTTAATTACAGATAAATTTTCATCTACACAACTTTATGATTATTCTGTAAATCATGTCTTTTAGATGGATGCAACTTTATAATGATCTGTGATGCAGGACATTTCTGCCACACTGCCAGTCGGACCACAGTCATTTCGGCCACAATCATTTAGGCCATACAGCCAGTTCGGCCATACTTTATAAAGTTGTTTCGGCCATGGTTTTTATTCTTATAAAGGGAGGAATATATAATTGTTTCTAGAAACAGATGTTAAGATACAAATGGACTGTGGCCAAACCGGTACTGTAACCTTGTGTGGAGAAACGTCTCAAAAGCAATGATCTGTTATTAATCAATAATAGGTGACAATTTTCAGGGATTCACCAGAAACAATAATACACTAAATTTCATAACTTTATCCTGTTTATTATCTAAACTAACCAAAGCAAAATGCAATAAATTCCCCATTTAGCTCTGATATTTAGCAAACAATTTTGATGTTTTAAGAAACCTTTTTCCTAAGCCTTTCTGGTATGTCTTATCTTTAGAATTATGAGTATTGCTGTCTTGACAGGGTCTAGATATACTGCACCTCGATAAAAAATATATAATGATTAATTAACTTATATCTGGGATCCATCAAGCCAAAAAGAACAAGTACAAATAAGAGCAGCAAGATTTGTCCAAAACAGCTACACAGACTGAACACCTGACTGTGTAACACACATGGTTAAACAACTACAGTGGGAAAGCCTGGAAGAACAGACAGAAACCATCAGACTATGTATGCTATTTAAAATCCAGCATGGGCTAATAGATATAAACAGACAACAATACCTAATCCTAAACAACAGCTGGATCAGAGGTAAAGGCAGCGCTTATAAAGAAAGAAAAAAAAAACTGACACCTATGGACAGTCAATATTCCCAAAGACCATCAGGGTTTGGAATCAACTTCCATCTAAAGTCACCTGGGCTGACTAGATAGAGGGATTCAGAGCTGCTCAGACAGTAGACAGTAGACAGAACATATATAAATACTTTGAGAAGACAAGCTGTGCAGCCCTAACCTGCACAAAGTCCTTTGCATTACCATACACATTTATGTATGAATTTGGTTTCTGACTTGGAAGAAGAAGAAACACCAATATAACCTGTAAATGAGCCTCCTTTTAAAGTAAAGAGAAAGTGGTTTTTTTTCAATTGAACAAGCCCCTGTGTCTGTTGATAAGATAAAAACTTGTATCTGTTGATAAGAATGCAAAAACAACAGTAATATTCTGAAATAAAATGGCATGAACGTTTAGAAAAAAACATCACAATAAAATGGCTCTCTATCCTAATAATGATAACTATACATAGAAATGGTGTTAAATCTCGGACTGAATGCACGTAATCGTCTGTATGTTGATGGAATTTGGAGTTATAAAGAAGAAGAAACAGTACCTTCTAAATTCTTCAGAAGTTATAAATAGAAGAGAAAGTAGGGATTTCCCGGAAATTTGTTGCGTATTTCGGCACTTCCCACTCTCGCCACTGTTCAAGAGAAAGTTAATTTTAACCGTCGTCACGAAAAAAGATGCAGTTAAATAAGGGAAACTATTAATTTATATTATATTATTTTTTTGTAGAGTTTATTTTACAAATTTTGCTATTAGCTCACAGACTAAGCAAAAAGACAGGTGGCATCTCCAAAGAATCTTTTTGGGTCGACTTTGTGTAAATGGTAATCAAACTTTGAAATGAAAGAGATTTCTACCAAAATGGCGCTGCCCATAGAGAACTCGTGTGGAAAGATGTCTATGCTAAATTAGAGAGTTTTAAAGTAAGAATGAGGATAAGGTATCTTTATTTCCTTATCTGTAGTTGTATACAACTCTTAGCCGTTTATCATGATAGCCTCCCTTGTACAAAAATTGTCAAAATGGGTTTGAGAAATTATGTAGACAACTGCAAAAAGTATATCCATAAATTATCCACAGAGAAAAATACGTTGAGCAAAACGCACGAAGGAGAAAATCTGTACATTTGAGACAATTTGTGACAACAGGCCTTAATATTGAGATTTAGACAGCGCAATAAATCTCATGGTTCATCATAACAAATATGGAGATATGTACCATAAACAGATAAACTGATAAATGTCTTTGTTTATACCTCCAAAACTACTCTGAGTACATGCAGTTGGAAAAGTTATTCAAGCATCCACTAGATAAAAAATTATAGAAGAGGAATTAAAGTCTTTGCATACCATAACCATTTTGTTCCTGTTGGAAGATTTATATGATTGTCAGGGCTGCCATTTTCATGCTTATTTGGCGGCATTTTCCTTTGATCTATTGTATTTTCTCTTTGATCTTTGCAATTTTAGCCAAATCTCACGCATTTGCTTCATGAAAAGTTGGCATAACTAAGTGGTTTGTCATTTCATACCATATGAGAGATTTATATGTATGCCATTTGAACCAAACTGGACTAGTTATATGTATACTAGTCCAGTGTTCTCTTCAGAAATTTTGGATAGCATCACATTTGGCGTAAAAAAATAGACTATTTTTTTCAATCTCATTCGACACGTCACGGTGATGCTCTATTTCCTTTTTATACGACCGCAAACAAATTTTGTGGTCATATATTGGTATGACGTCGGCGTCCGAAGACACAAAGGTTTTCGCACTCTAACTCTAGTTTAAGTGAATGGATCTCTATGAAATTTTACCATAAGGTTCAATACCACAAAAGGAAGGTTTGGATTGATTTTGGGGGTTATGGTACCAACAGTTAAGGAATGAGGGGCCAAAAATAATCATTTTCTAGTTTCCAGACAATAACTTGTGGAACAGTGTATGGATCTCTCTGAAATTATACCACAAGTTTCCATACCTCAAAGGGATGTTTAGGATTTGCTTTGGGGGATTATGGCTCAAACCGTTTAGGAATTAGAGGCAAAAAAGGGGGAAAAACAAGGTTGTCCTGGTTAATGGACAAATACTTTAGTACAAACATAATTTAAAGCAGTGTAAGGGAGATAAATCAAATACAATATTTGAATTACCTCCCTTACACTGCTTTTAAATTATGAATAAAGTAATGGTTAATGAACAATTAAGACAATTTAAAACAGTGTAAGGGAGGTAATCCAAATACAACGTTTTGATTACTTCCCTTACACTGCTTTTAAATTGTGTTTAAAGAAATGCATATTTATAAAGGAAGACCAGTAAAAATATCTGCAAATGTTGCATCTTTTTTTTTTTTTTACAAAAAAATCCATATGAAAGATTTGACACCATATTTTAAATTCTATTATAAAATAGATTAAGTTAGCACTATGGTAAATTTAAATGGGTAATTGGAAATTTGAATTGCGATTATGACCATATCTTGGTCAATTTTTTCTCATTTCAGATTTCAGAAATTAAAAAGATTTATTCTTCAAATATTATTTTTTTTTTCAAATTTCAAATATTGAAAAATTTCAAGAAGTAATCTTTAATTGCACAGTATGGCGCATTAGATTTGTAAAATCTTTGACCACATTTATTTATTTGTTATGCCGAATCTAACCGTGTATCTAGATTTTTAATTTTGAGTCCCGTTTTTTAAATATGTCTACATTAAGGTCCAAAGGGTCCAAAATTAAACTTAGTTTGATTTTAACAAAAATTTAATATATGGGGTTCTTTGATATGCTGAATCTAAACATGTGTTTAGATTTTTGATTATGGGCCCAGTTTTCAAGTTGGTCCAAGTTGAGGTCCAAAATTAAACTTTGTTTGATTTCAACAAAAATTGAATATATGGGGTTCTTTGATATGCTGAATCTAACCATGTATTTTGATTTTTGGGCCCCGTTATCAAATTGGTCCACATTGAGGTCAAAAGGGTCCAAAATTAAACTTTGTTTGATTTCATCAAAAATTGAATTCTTTGGATTCTTTGATGTGCTGAATCTAACCATGTATTTAGATTTTGGATATTGGACCATAATAGGTAAATTAAAAAATTTTAAGTTCTTATAAGACCACATTCATTCTGTGTCAGAAACCTATGCTGTGTCAAATATTTAATCACAATCCAAATTCAGAGCTGTATCAAGCTTGAATGTTGTGTCCATACTTGCCCCAACTGTTCAGGGTTCGACCTCTGCGGTCCTATCAAGCTGTGCCCAGCGGAGCATTTTATTGTTATATATGTTTATATTGTTCAATTCATAACTGAGAATACAATTAAACTATAACCATCATAACAGTTGTTTCAAATTATGTTTTCTATATTCATTTATACATGTAGTTACAGAATTATTTTTTTCCTCTTGGGCCAAATAAAAATATATGTGTGGTTCCAGTTACCCTACCTACTCAACTAAATGAAGGGGTTATTATAGTGCAACCTGTATATATACAATACTAAATATCTAGCAAAAAAAAAAGAACTGGTTTTTATATAAAAAGGGAAGAGAAAGTATCATATAGCAATAAAATTTCAATAAAAAAAACTTTTTTTCTCTATCATGTCTATGAAATTCATTGTTTCATGATACTCAGTGAATTAGTCACAGTTGTTTCTTTTATATATCAAAATGATATATTTTTTTAACAAAGTTAAGCTACTTTAGTCAGTATATTAAAACAATGCATTTTGAAAAAGAATACATTTATCAAAGATATCTAATAAATAGTCTTTTAATGCATGTGGAATGCGTAGTTTTCTTTTTTGTGATCATTTTTTCTGTCTATTGTGCCATGTGTGCATCTGTAATTATTATAGTAAAAATGCGGAATTTTGACATATCTGGTCCGGTTTCGATCCGTAGTTTATACAAATATTTCAATGGCAGCAGAAGAAAAATATACAAAAATAAACAATGTTTGACAAGAGATTGGGAATGCATATGACGCTTTTAATGCATTAAATGGATGAAACATTAACTAAAGCCAATTATACTAAAGAAGTATCAAACTTATTTAACTCAAAATAAAAAAGTTTAATATACGGCATGTACGCTCTCGATTAACTATATAGATACCGGAAATGAAAGAAAGTAATTTTTATACGACTGCAAAAAATTTTTTGGGATCGTATGATGTCGTCGTCTGAAGACACATTGGTTTCCGGACAATAACTTTAGTTTAAGTGAATGGATCTTTATGAAAATTTTAAGAAGGTTCAATACCACAAAAGGAAGGTTGGGATTGATTTTGGGGATGATGGTCCCAACTGTTTAGGAATTAGGGGCCCAAAACAAGCATTTTTCTAGTTTCAGGATAATAACTTGTGTATAAGTATTTCGATTGCTCTGAAATTGTACCACAATGTTTAATACCACAAGTAGAAGGTTGGAATTCATTTTAGGGGTTATGGGGCCAACAGTTTAGGAATTAAGGGCCAAAAAGGGGCCAAAAACAAGCATTTTTCTAGTTTCCAGACAATAACTTGTGTGTAAGTGTATGGATCTCTCTGACATTGTACCACAAGGTTCCATATAACAAAGGGAAGGCTGGGATTGAGTTTGGGGATAATTGCCCCAAACATGTAGGAATTAGTGGCCAAAAAAGGGCCAAAAACAAGCATTTTTCTAGTTTCCGGACAATAACTTGTGTGTAAGTGTATGGATCTCTCTGAAATTGTACTACAAGGTTCCATACTACAAAGGGAAGGCTGGGATTGAGTTTTGGGGTTATTGCTCCAAGGAGGGTTTCAAAAAGTTGGGGGGGGGGGGGGGGGATTTTTTTCCCAATTTTTTTTAAGGGATTCATATTTTTTTTTCAAAATTTTTAAAATTTCGAATTTTTGAAAAGTTTCAAGAAGAAATCTTCAATTAAACAGTATTGCGCAATGGATTTAAAAGATCTTTGGCCACATTTATTTTGTGTCAGAAACCTATATTATGTCAAAAATTTGATTACAATCCAAATTCAGACAGTATCAAGCTTGAATATTGTGTCCAAATTTGCCCCAACTGTTCAGGGTTCGACCTCTGCGGTCGTATCAGGCTGCGCTCAGCGAAGCATTTTATTTAAAAGTTGTAAAAATATACGACCTAACCTCTTTTTTAAAGAGAGAAATCGTTTGTATCTTTGAATTTGGATTATGCAAACGTAGATTTCGAATTGTTTTTTGATTTTCTGATTAAATTTCTCCATGTTGGAGATTGGACCACGTGGTATTAGTCATGTCACAAGTGTCAGCTTGGGGTATTCGTATCCATTCAGTTTTCACCCAAAGGGCAATTAACACCTATTTAATCACTCTAAATTGCCTCTATTGTCGGACTTGAAGGGATTACAATTAAAGATGATATCATTTTTATGATCACAAGCCGTAATTAGATGAAAGTTCAAAATTTAGGACATGGTTTTGTGATATAGAGACAAGAAAAATATTATAGCATCACGGGAAAAAAATATAGCGTCTCGGTGCCGCAACGCTAAAACGGCCTGGGGAGAACACTGCTAGTCCAAAAAATTATGACATCTTGAAAGGCTTTTTTTTTTTGCTTTGAAGCCTTACTGCAACGTCATAACGCCGAAATCATTTTTTCAGTTGGACTTTGAGAGAGAATTTACTGCTTTATTAAAAGGTTTAGCTGATTTCTACTCAAGTTGCTTCACTTTATGTATAAAATTTTTGCACCAAACTTCAGCGTTATGACATCACAGTAAGGTGTCAAAGCAACAAAATAGAATAGCCTTTCAACATGTTCAAGAGGTCATAATCATTTGGACTATATGCATATCATTTTGTACTATATGGAAGATTTGAATGTGTCACTTTGTGTTTTTAAAAACTGTCTCATTGATGTCTGTTTATTCATATTTTATACTAAAATACATGTTAATTTGGTTGATTATTGCTGGCTTATTATCCAGTTGCAAATCTTTCATGCAGTGATGCTTATTCAAAATGAAATAAAGAAATATGGAGTCAGTCTTAAGAAATGAGATCAATTGGTTGTCCGTTATTTTGCAAAATGAAGATTCCATAGCAAGTGCTTTGACACAATGTTTGATTGGTCACTTGGGTGCAAATTATTATGCAAACATAAAAATTCATGGCTTCCTTTTCAAGATTTTATCAGTTTGTGTCTTTTTGCATTATGTTTTCTGGCAAAAACAACTGTGTAAATAAAAGGTTTAAAGTTTCCATGTACTGCTTAATCAAACCAACCATGGTCATTAGATCAATTTTTTTGCTGGAAGCTTAAAAATTATTAACAGATATACTGAACATCAAGGTCCATTCAATAAAGGGGAAGCATTTTACCATGTTCACTGCTTATGTTACAATATTTATTTAAAAAAAATGACATCTCAAAAAGTTTGATAACATATTTTACATTGTTGACTGGACCAATAATACATTAATCCATTTAATATAATTCATTTTATATGAGGCTTTATAAAAGAGTTTTTCCTTTTTTCAATTGTTAAAAATTGGTTAAAAATTCAATGATTTGCAAAATATATTATTCAAAAAGGAAACAAGTATTTAGTCTATCTGCTATTTGATAGGAAATGGTGTATGCATTTTGCACATGGTAACACATTAGTGGGTACAACACAGAAAATGTTGGGTAAGAATTGATAAATTTAGGTACGAAATGACTAGCTTCCTAACAGATAAGGTTCATCTTTACCTATATGAAAAAGTTGACATGTTTGAATAAAAAATTTACTCAAGAGTACAAACAGACTATACATATGGAAAAGTTTTCATGCATGGCAGGACCTACAGAAATATAATTCAAGTGCATTTTTTATTTCAGAAAACTGAAATCTTAACTGGATTTTGCTGTGTTTACAATAAAGAAATATGGAAGCAAATTTTCCAAGAGGTGGAGTTGCGAAGAAACAAAGTCATGAAACAAAGAATAGAACAGATGAGAAAGATTTATTTCAAGTATGAAATAGAATTGTTTCAGTGTTTTTTTTAAGTCGCCTCATATATAGAAGAGGTTGATAGGACATAGAAATAGCAAATACAAGATAATTATTCTCATAATCTATATATATATATATATATATATATATACAAGTCTAAATTGAAAACAACGTTCAAACCTATGATTGCGTTGGATAAAAACCGCAATTTTTATACGTGTGCATGCAAAACAAATGTCTTGGTAGAGGGGTCTAAATACAGCACAAACAACATTTTCCAAAAGACCAAATGAGTGAAAAAGTATATTTTAACAAAACGCATTTGACTAGCAGGTCGAACAACTGATGTTCTTAAACCCTGCTGACTGCCATTGGCAATTGCCAAATAAACGGATCACCGATGTAATAAATGGATCTTAATTATAAATTAAATACTAAACAGAAAACAATAAAATTGCGGAAAGATATATATATATATATATGATAAGCATATTTTTGAATTGAGCTCTAAATTCTCACTGATAATTATATTAATATCCAGATTTTACACATCATTTGTACGTTTGTAAGTATATTAGGTTGTAACAGCATTTAAATGTCTAGTAAAGACTATTATGATACTGCAGTTAAAGAATTTATTTGATAAGAAACATCTGAACTTGGTGTATTGAACATTTTGAAGAAGGAAATATATTCTTGACTTGAATTAGGTGTTTTGGAGAGAAGACAGATCACTATATTGGTTTCCTATGGTACAAAACCTGCTAGTCAAATCATAATAGTACAATCTTTGTATACTGTAACTTGTAATTTGTTGCTCAGTTTAAACCAATCTTTTCAAAAGTAACACAGACTCAATACCAAATGTGTTTCATTTAGTTTTAAGCTTTAGTACAAAGATTTTTGAAATGTACATGAAGTTAAATGTACTTTCTCTGGATCATGTAACTAAACGGTACACTTAAACATTTTTCTACCTATAAAGTTTGTTATTGTTATGAAATAGTTGAAAATTTTACTTACAAAATCAATTATATTATGATATGATAATATCAGTTTTACAATACAGACTGGAGAAGATGATACCAAAATTGAGAAAGGACAGAAAAGAAAAAAGAGAAATGAAAAGAAGGGAACAGAAAAGAAAAACAAAAAACAGAAAGTGTTTAATCCAAAGTCTATTCAATACAACACAGGCCAAATTCAGCAGCTTTCTATCAAGGTAATAAAGATTTAAAGTGGAGGACTTTAAGATACTTGTGAAATAAATAAAAATTCAATGAATTTGTATGAATGTCAGACTGGAAAGTTTTGACCAATTTATGATCCCTTCTTACAACAGTTTTGGAGGGATATTATGTTATTTCAAATTCCTATTCAGGATGTTTTACAGTTACAAAGTTTCTCACATTAGAAAACAAATGTTTCTCAATTTCATTAGAGCATAATTAATATCAATTCATAGCATTCATATACCTGTATAAATATCGTGTACAAATTATCAGTATTTTTTAATCTGAACATGATTGGAAAACACAAGCACATTAGCTTATCAACAACATATGTGCATGACTACATGCTTAAGCCTTATACAAAACACTTCTATAAAGTTTTATAAGGATATTATAAAATATTTTGCGGCCTTAGAACTTGGAATAGGCAGAAAAATATAAAATAGAATTTAGTCATATCTAGTGTCCTCGTTTGCAGCTTTATGCCAAAGAATTCAGTACTTAACGCAAGGTTAAAGTATATAAATTTGTGAGTAAACCATTAAACTGGTTTGTTATTGAAGACAAAATTGTATCACCGGGTAAAATATGGACGACGTCAAAATAAAGATAATGGGTACATAAATTTTTACAACTTGTACATGACATATACATATACATATACCAAGAGAGATAATAAATAAAACTAAATAGTAGACGTAAGAAACTTTAGTTACGCAACTTAAGCTACAAGCCAGCAGAAATATTAATTACACATTTTGAATGTTTTTATTTGAGTAAACCTTTGCGTAATTTGACCTTGCAGATGTTATCTACAGACATGTTAGTACTGGGTTGTGTGAAGGAAGTACATGATTATGAAGTGTTACTAAGTTTGCCTGGTGGTCTGTCTGGTGTAGTACCTATAACCAATATATCTGATGCATACCATGACCAATTAAAACAACTAGCTAGTCAGAGTGGGACAGAGGATGACATTGAAGATTCAGTAAGTAACAACTGTAAATACTTTTTATAATTTTGGTGATTTGTGTTTTGATGTTATTCTCAAGTCTTTTTTTTAATGGTTTGAAATAAAATTTTCCCAATCTAGGTAGACAACAAGAAGAAAAAGGATGTATGATTAGTGTGATAATAACATTTAATGGATTATCAGGCCTAATAACCTCATTGACTGCAGATAATGTACTATTTGACCTTTAAAGAAATTAGTCATATTGTCAGAAATTATTATTAGGTTTTATTGTCTTTTGGGGTTACTGTCTCATTGACACTTTTCTATTATTTATATAATTATATATTTGATTATACCCCCACAAACAATATTTGTTCTTTTAGGGGGTTATGTAGGAATCATCTGTCCTTCGGTCTATCTGTCCATCTGCCTTGTAACTGAAACTTCTCCTAAATGACCAGACAAATATCAATGAAACTTTACACACGTAGCACTCTACCCGAGGATGTGCATCCAAGAATGTAATGCCAGTCCAAAATGTCAAAGGGGAGATAATCAGATTTACACTTTGCTTATTATAGCAGTATGTGGTAATTGTCTCTCGTAAGCACAACTCTTCCTACATGGCCAAACTTATATTGATAAAAAGTTACACTGCTGTAGAAAAATACCTGAAGCTGTGCTTAAAGGAATAAATCCTGGTCCAAAATGCAAAAGGGGAGGTAATCAAATTAGCTTACTTCAATATTACAATATGTGATAATAAGTCTCTTGTAAGCACAACTCCTACTAAATGGCTCGATAGATACTGACTAAACTCAATACAAATGTAGAACACTATTTGAGGATGTGCTTAAAGGAATATCGTCCCTGTCCTATGTCTTAAAGGGAAGGTAACATGATTTACATACTTCAATACTGCAACATGAGGCAAGCACGACACCACTTAACATCTGGACAGATACTGTTGAAACTTTACACAGTTGTAGTACACTACATTGTACATGAGGATGTGCATATATGATTATAATACTGGTTCCACATTTGAAATTAGGAGATAACTGACCTTACTTCAATATTGTAACATGTAGTAATACTCTCTCATAAGTACAATGAAATATTATTGACAAAGGACATAAGGGAAATTTCTATATTTGCATGTTTTTATATTTTGAATACTATGAATATTTGATTGATTTTTGACATTTGAAGCATGCTGAAGAGAAAGGGTATTATAAATATGACTTAATGTTTTGTGTCAAACAGTAAAAGTTGATGATGTCATTGAAATTTTGAAATATAAGTGCAAAATTTAATTATAAAAGTTTTTTTTTTTTTTTTTCCCTCAGGATATTCACAGCTTACATGAAATATTCAAGATTGGAACTATACTACCAAGTAAAATAGTAAATATAGGGAAGAACACGAAAGGAAAAACTGCCATTAAACTGACCATCAATCCTAAAGCAGTTAATCAGGAATTTGAACCATCACATATAAGGGATGGACTAGTAAGTATTTCATTAAACTCTGTTGATGATTGCTAATTACATAGTAAGACTAATGAAAAGAGACTATTCATGCTGAAATTTTTCACTGTTGGACATAATTTTTGAATTGACAAGAATACCATGCCATTTTATTGAACAATGAGTCTTGATAAACAGACACCATGTTATAGCAGTATAATTTTCAGTAAAGAGGATCCAAATATTTATTGAAATAAATAAAAAACTTACTTTCATAAAGATATAAGTGATGATGATTATATAAGTGAAGCAAATAAAGGATAGGATTTGTTTTGGACTCTTGATAAATATTTCTTACCCAAATTGTGATCATTTACAGTGTGATCGATAGTATGTCCATTATTTACGTCCACTTCGAATTCATTAATTTTTATCGTGTTCTTGGATACCAAATTTCATGGATTGAGGAAGAAAAAAATTTCAAGAATATTTAATTTTGTGGTGTACTTTACGCACTAAATTCACAAAAGGAAGTAATAAATGAATAATAATGAATCCACATTTCATAGAATGTTTGCAAAATACATGGCCATTTTAATTTTATACAAGAAGTTCCTCATTGACAGGTTTTGTTTGGTAGTATTGCCAGTCAGGAAGATCATGGATATGTAGTGGACCTTGGAGTCAAGACAGTCAAAGCTTTCCTAAAAAATAAGGATGCTGAACGATACATACAGCTGCATAACGATGGTAAGTGTTGTCATAAAGAATGGGTGTATGAATGAATGTTTAATGTCCAGTGGCCAATTAATTGCATATTGGGATGAGAACATGATAATGTATTTTGAAAATAAACTCTGCTTTGTACTAGACCTACATGCTGAGAGGATTTTTAACATGCTAGTTCACATGGTAACAGTCTGCAGGAAAACATGTCACCCTTCCCATAGACATTATCCTGACTCTTAGTCTACCATTCTTTGCTCTTATTGCGAAATGCCCCCTGCTTAGCAGAGAAGCTGCCTTAGCAGAGAAGCTGCAAATACCAAGTGCAGTTGTTCAAGTTATTGAAAACATAAAATTTCTTACACAACCAATCAATTTTTGTAATTTCCTGTAGCAGTGGTCATTTTGCATAAAGAATGACTTTTCGATTTTTGCACTATATTTTATAAATATATTTTGGCCATGGATAATAGTTTAAATAAGAATTTTATCTTAAACATTTTGTAAAGAACTGTACTTTCAATGAACTTTTACACAAAAAAATGGATGGAATTGGTATTAACTTTTATTAATGGTTGGATGACATAATGAAATTTCCCTTTCTAATATTACTGCTTAGAGCTTGTACATTGCACACCAAGATTAACTGCTAAGAGCTTGTACACGGCACACCATGGCACAGCAAGATTAACTGCTAAGAGCTTGTACATGGCACAACAAGATTAACTGCTAAGAGCTTGTACATGGCACAACAAGATTAACTGCTAAGAGCTTGTTCATGACACAAGAAGATTAACAAGCTGATGCATGAGTTGCAAAATCATAAGGTTAAGCCTACATCAAGATTTCTAATCAAAGAAAATAGTAGATATATAAAACTGAAGTAATTTGTTTTTACAGGATATCCTCTGATGGTTGGACAATCTATAATATGTAAAGTAGAAACAGGAAAGGATAAACTAGACATGTTAAGTGGAGAATCTAGAACTGTCACTGTGACCATAGATCCTAATAAACTGTCATCTAATGAGGTTAGTAGTCCTTGGGGATTTTTTTAGTTGAAAAAATAACTAAATATTGCCTGTACATTTTCCAAAGTAATTGACAGTAAGCTGTTATCTCCAATTTTTTTTATTACAGGTAATCAAAATTTAATCGATAACAACAAAAAATATGATGTAATCATTAATTACTTTTTAGCTCACCTGGCCCAATGGACCAAGTGAGCTTTTCTCATCACTTGGCGTCCGTCGTCGTCATCCATTAACTTTTGCAAAAATCTTCTGCTCTGCAACTACTGGGCCAAATTTAACCAAACTTGGCCACAATCATTATTGGGGTATCTAGTTTAATAAATGTGTCCGATGACTCAGCCTGCCAACAAAGATGGCTGCCATGGCTAAAAATAGAACATAGGGATGAAATGCAGTTTTTGGCTTATATCTCTGAAACTAAAGCATTTAGAGCAAATCTGACATAGGTAAAATGTTCATCAGGTTAAGATCTATCTGCCCTGAAATTTTCAGACGAATCAGAGAACCCGTTGTTAGCTGCCCCTGAATTGGTAATTTTAATAAAATTTTGCAGTTTTTGGTTATTATCTTAAATTTTATTATAGATAGAGATAAACTGTAAACAGCAATAATGTTCAGCAAAGTAAGATCTACAAATATGTCAAATATGACCAAAATTGTCAATTGACCCCTTAAGGAGTTATTGCCCTTTATGATATAGTCAATTTTTCGTAAAGTTTTGTAATATTTTACAAAAATCTTCTCCACTTAATCTACTGGGCCAAATAGAATTAAACTTAGCCACAATTTTCAATAGGTATCTTGATTGAAAAATGTATCCAATGACTCTGTCATCCAACCAACATGGCCACCATGGTTAAAAATAGAACATAGGGGTTTACTATAGAAGTCTTAAGGGAAAATTGTTAAAAAAAACAATTTCAAATGGTCACAATTTGAAAACTAATTTAAATAATGATAAGGGGTCTTCAGTAACTATTGTAAGATTAAAATAGGATGACCTGCTTTTGATTTGACTACTGGGCCCAAATTAAACCAAACTTGGCCTCAATCATTATTAGGGTATCTAATACTATTTATTATGATTTTAACCTTATTTTACATGATTTCCAAAAACACAGTAGATACAGGTAAGCGACAAAGGCTCTTGAGAGCCTCTTGTTCAATTATATGATGATTAATGTAGTAAAATAGTTTGATAAAATAAAACCTACCTTAAATGACAATGAATAACTGAATCTACTCTTCAATTCATGTGAAATCTTGCTTACTTGTTCTCTATTACCGGTAAATGAGTTTCCAAAGTAAATTTGGGAAATAGCAGGTTATTTAAATGTCGCTCACATCACATTCAAAATTTGTTGATTTAGTAACTTTCTTCCAAATATACCTTTATTACCAATATCAGCATTAAACATTTTTAGTTAATGTACAGATATACACATATAGTTAGTATTTTATGGTTGTCCTGATTTATAAGGAAATAATCATTTTCTTGAAAAAAAGGTATTTTTGATTTTTTTTTTCTTTGTCTTTAATAGCCAATACTTATTTAGGAATAAAAAAAATATGAAAAAAGAATATGTTTTTTCAACCAAAGGTAAAAGCATACAAATGTATAACTTTGATCATATTCAAGCAATTGATTTTATTAGAGGGTAAATATCAGGAGAAAAAAGTAAAGCTTAAACTTATGCTAGGTGACAAACATTTTTGTCTAGAAAATTCTGAAGAAGAAAACATTAAATGTAGTGGCATGAACCATGTAAAATCCAGAGGAGAGTGTATCTGGTTAAAAATTACAGGTATTTTTCAGGATTTTTTTTTCTTACAGCAAATCAAAGAAAAATGCATATGTCACAAGTATTAAATTATAGACCTTGAACAAAAATTAGGAGAAGTGGTAAGATTGCCAATGAGACAGCTGTCCATAAAGACTAAAGAAGTGAACAATTACAGGTCACTTTATGAGCAAATCCCATACTCATACTGTATATAAAAGAGCTTTAAAAAGTCCTGGTCTGGCAAAATGTGGCTTAAACCCAATTTATATCTCTTGTTTGATTTTGTGACACTTGACTTGTTATACAAAGATCACTTTAACAATTAAGTGGTACACATTTTCTCTTTTGACATAAAATTTTAATGTAAATAAAGGATGATTGTATATCTACAAGGTCAAGGTCACAAACTTAGTTACACTTTGCATACTTCATATCCAAATTTACTAAGTGGTTTCCAGCTGAAAACTTTGGAATGAATATATAAATATATAATACTAAGTTACTGCATATAAGATATCAAGCTATCACAGTATTGATATTTTTACTATTACAGGTTCGTGGTGAAATGGATGTTCCATTTAGAAGTTTAATTCCTGGAATGAAAGTTAACGCTACAGTAGACCAGGTAATCATTAAATTTATAACTTTATTCTAAGTGGTTACATTATGGATACATCTATTAAAGGAAAGAGTTACATAAAAAAGCAAGGGTATATTCTATTAAGACAACAATTGGCTTGTAGAAATCAAAATAATGATGGTTAATCTTCATGTTAAAGTCATATGAAACGAGTTTCTTGTTATTTTAATGTTATCAAAATTATTGAACCAATGCATGCATATATACTTAATTAAGTCTTGTATGCACCTTTTTATGTTTATTACGATTCTATAACGTATTATCAACAAATAATATTTCACTCAGTGATTGTTGATGGCAAGCTAATTAACTTTGAGTATGTTGCTGACGTTTACCAGATCGTGACATTGATAAAACAATCAACACAGAGCATGTGGAGCATGTGACCAATAAGTTTTTTGACTGTTTATATTATGTTGCCAGGTAACAGATAATGGTGTTACAGTCAAGTTTCTGCAGTATGGTGGTACTATTCACAGATCACATCTTTCAGAAAAACCAAACAAGGCTCTCAAAAATAAGCAGGTAATATCATTAGAAGTCACTTATTTGTCAACCAGTTTTCTTGCAAACAGTTAATTTTGTAATTTCATCAAGAGCTTTTTAAAAAATTTCAGGCATTCAAACAAAAATTTCTCAAAATAGGTAAATCTAGGACAAAGATTGAAGCAATTTTTAATTTACCAGTTACAAGTAAATTGACCAAGGCATTGATAGTTTTTACTGCATCATAACTTCCTTACAACATTTACTATGAAGATACTTAAGATTGTGTTGAAAAAGTAACTCATTTGTTTAATTTCCTTCAGCAAAGAGGATGTGGATAATACATAATCTATTCTTTAAAAAAAACCAAGCATAACACTAATTAAGTCTTTCCACTTTTCTGTGGAAACTCCCATTAGAAATTTACTGATTGTTTTTTTTTCTTGCATAGTATTTTAGTTTTGCAAGATTTCAATAAGATATTTGTGATAATTACACATATTTATGTGCTTTTCTTTCCTTTTGAATTATAATACAACCTTGAAAATCTTAGACATTTAATTTCTTGGATTAAAGGATCTATTTATTACATTGCCTGATTGTAAATAATAAAGAGAATGCATAAACCAATATCTTTGTCTACCCATTCTTATTTTGTGTTGATGCTACCTATTGTTGTAAGAGGAGTGAAAGTGAGGTGGAACATTCCAAAGGGATATTCAAACTCATAAGTTGAAGACAAAACTGACAGCACCATAGCAAAATACAAAAAACAACCAAAAACAACACAGCAGTATACAAATCACAACATAGGAAACTAAAGACTGAGAAAATACAGGGTTTACTGTACATGTGAAATATCGGTATTTATTTGGCTTGGAAATCATGGTATTTCGTTGCAACCAATGAAATAAATTAAGTTGTTTATCCTGATGTAGATTAAAGCATGTGTTCTGTACATCCATCCAACAACAAAAGCTGCTGTGCTGTCAAATCTACCTCACCTTGTGGAATATAAAGGTGTGCCTGTGATTGGTCAGTTTGGTCAGCTGACTGTATGTCAGATCGTAGAGAATGCAGAAGTAACAAATGCAGGAACCTATAATGTTCTGTTTAAATTACCTGGAGACATCAAAGCAACCTGTGGGGTATGTTACATATCAGATTGTTTCACAATTTATACAGTTTAAATGCAACTGCAATATTGTTTTATTTATGAGATTTTGTATACAAGGTAACGGTTAAAGGAAATTTTTAAGCACATAATTGTCAAGAAGATTTGTAACAAATAAACAAGACATCTGACAAGTTTAAGTGTTTGAAAATTCACATTGATAATTAGTGAAATGCAAGTTTTTTTAACTTTTTTTCATGACATTTTCAATCATTCGTAAGATGGATCTGGCTTAATTTTCTGTTGTTGTGTTACAAATGTAGTTGTTTATTCTCAATAAATTTGATTTTGATTTCATTAAGTATGGTTAAATAGTGAATGTAATTTTCACACAAGTTAGATCTGTTAGTTATAATATTATTTTTCATTTAGATAAAGAATTTGAGTGATGGTAAAATTGCAGATGTCCACAGTATGTTCAAACATGGATCTGAACACAGGTATTATGTAAAAACATCATTTACATTTTAAAACTCAAAAGTGGCAGATCTTCGTTTCAAATGTTTCATTGAGAATTTTGATATAACAAAATTTTCATACCATTTCAATATTGGGTCTTAGGACACTTTGTCTTTTGGAGACTCAGATCTTTTGACCTTTTTAACTATTCTTTCTCTGTTATTCTGTATCCTGTCTTGGCAATATTTTTAGAAATTCAATGAAAAATAACTGAAAATGAACAAAATAAATATGATTCATTATGTGTAAAGAGTATGTTATGATACATTACAAATACACAGATTTTAACCTAAATGAAAAGGTGAGCGTAGGACAGGAGAATTTTCCAATTTATCAGCTGGATTTCACCAATATAGGAAAGTTTAAGCCTATGAAACACAATTTACATTTATGCTAACAGCCAATCTGTTTTAACCCTGTAAAGAAGAATATATTTTAAAGAGCTCTATATCAACTAAATGCTTTTATGGTGTGTTAATTTGCATTCTAAACAGATCAAGGTATTTAAATTCTGTCAAGTGAATTATTATCATTGTATGAAACATATTTTTATACTTTTAGGTGTAGAGTAATGGACTTTCACTACATAGACCAATTAGTAACTGTTACATTGAAACAGTAAGTACAACAAGACATAAGTAGTTTGGTTTGTGTTTATATTTTAACTTTTGTAGAAAAAAGCTGATGAAAGTAGTGGACTGGTGTAGGTCAGAGAAAATATTTTGAGCCAGACATACAATTCTTTGATTATTTTACCACCATTCAATTTAGGTATTTAAAGAATGGAATTGGAGATCCACTGGGCAAGGATAATTGTCACAAAAAGATTAAGTAATTCTTTGATAGGGATTTGGTAACCAACTATACATACTTTAATTTGACGAAGTTTACACTTTTCAATTATTTTGATAATATACAATTTGATTGCCTAACTAAGATGTTGGCCTTGCATGAATAAAATAGAAAACATAAAATCCATGTAGATACTGATTGTAAATTTTTGTTACTTTATATTACAGAAGTATATTAGATCAGAAGTATATGTCACTACAGGATATCGTACCAGGGGATGTTATTGAGGTGAGTTCTTCAGATAGTTTAAAGATACATTTGTTGCAAATACTAAATTACTTTTATGTTCTTTTTCTGCTTTATAACAACTGTAGAGATTATTACATACAATAATTGTTATGTTATAGTGAACAGTACAATATTTATTAAGTATTACATACAGCAATTATCATATTTTAGTGTACAGTAGAGACCTGTGTTGAGAGAGGAGTTGGTGTCAAATTATCACAGAACATTCATGGCTTTATACCAAACCTTCATCTGGCTAATTCAACATTCAAAACTAGAGATGTTAAAGAGTTCCATGAAGGGAAACAACTCAAGTGTAGAGTAAGTCATTTATTAACAATTTATTTTAATTGAATGATTGAAGTTGCCAAAAAAGAAATAATGTTTGTAAATTAATCTATTTTAATGGTGGGTAAAATGATTTTTAGTATATCTCACATTTCTGTGTTTAACCCACCACTTTCCTAAAAAATACACCTATGACAATTCAGAATTATGTTAGTCATTGTCCCTTTGTTCCACCATGTGAATGGTTGAGTTTTCCTATTTTATCCAAGGGTTTTTTGAATCACATTTTGAGTTTTCTGTTTCTTATTCATATTAACCATTTTGTTGTCGAGCCTACAACTTTTGTCGCAGAAGACCTGGATGCTTCATACTTTGCATATAGATGCCTTATATTACAAAGTTTCCGTCTATCACATGTCCATTGTCCTTGACCTCATTTTCATGGTTCAGTGACTACTTGAAAAAAAAGTGAAGATTTTTTGTAATGGTAATTTCTCTCTTTTTATGAGTAATAGGATAACTATATTTGGTATGTACTTACCTTGCAAGGTCCTCATGCCCATCAGACAGTTTTAACTTGACCTCGACCTCATTTCATGGATCAGTGAACAAGGTTAAGTTTTGGTGGTCAAGTCCATATCTCAGATACTATAAGCAATAGATCTAGTATATATATGGTGTATGGAAGGATTGTAAGGTGTACATGTCCAACTGGCAGGTGTCATTTGACCTTGACCTCATTTTCATGGTTCAGTGGCTATAGTTAAGTTTTTGTGTTTTGGTCTGTTTTTCTTATACTGTATGCAATAGGTCTACTATATTTGGTCTATGGAATGATTGTAAGGTGTACATGTCCAACTGGCAGGTGTCATCTGATCTTGACCTCATTTTCATGGTTCAGTGGTCAAAGTTAAGTTTTTGAGTTTTGGTCTTTTTTATTATGCCCCCGCCGTCGCGGAGGGGGCATTAAGTTTTACCCTTGTCCGTCTGTTCGTCCGTACGTCCCAAAATTGGTTTCTGTTCTCTAACTTTAGTTTGCCTCAACCAAATGTTATGAGAATTATACACAATGCTTATTACCACAAAACACAGATCAAGTGTGAATTTTGGTGGCGTCATTTTTTTGGGGGCATCATCTGTGTCCCATGGACACATTCCCCATTTATTTTCTAATACTATATGCAATAGGTCAACTACATTTGGTGTATGGAAATATTTTATGATGCACATGTCAGTCTTGCAGGATTTATTTGACCTTGACCTCATTTTCACGGTTCATTGCTCAGTGTTAAGTTTTTTGTGTTTTGGTCTGTTTTTCTTAAACTATAAGCAATATGTCAACTATATTTTTTGTATAGAAGGATTGTAAGCTGTAGATGTCTGTCTGGCAGGTATCATCTGACCTTGACCTCATTTTGTTGGTTCATTGATCAATGTTAAGTTTTCATGGTTAAGTTTGTTTCTTAGATACTATAAGCAAAAGGTCAACTATATTTAATGCATAGGTTGGTTGTAAGGTGTACATGTCTGCCTGGCATGGTTCATCTGACCTTGACCTCATTTTCATGGTTCATTGGTCAATGTTTAGTTTTCTTGGTTAAGTCTGTTTCTTAGAAACTATAAACAATAGGTCAACTATATTTAGTGTATTGAATGATTGTAAGGTTGATAGTTGTAGTAAAGTTTTATATTTATGACTATCAACATAGTATCAATTGTTAGTAAAGAAGGCGAGACATTTCAGCGTGTGCACTCTTGTGAAATAAAAAGGACTTTAAAAAGCCAAGAATATTAAATAGGAATAAAAAGGAGATGAGAATTATATGCCAGTGAGACACCAACCTTACAATAGTATAAAAACAAAACAAAAACAATACCTAGAGGTCTTCAACTTTCTTAACCATTTTGACAAACTGTTTATCCCCATTAGTGTATAGTGAATAGATCCAACAGACACAACCAAAGATTATCAATGCCAAATTCCTTTAAAAAAACACTCTATGGAGTAAATAATGGCAATCACAGACAAGATTGCTGACTAAAAACACATCATTTACATAGAAGGTAGTAAACCTACTTTATTAAAAATATGCATTGTTATGGAAACATACTTTATTTAGATATTCATAGGCAGTGAGGGCAATGCTTGTATAAATCTCAATCACAACTAAATTATGATGTAAATGAAGAGTTTCATTTTTCCTGGAAGAAAAAGAAATTTTCATCCCCTTAAAGGCTTTTTTTATGGAATAGCCTCTTGTAAAATTAAATAACATCATGAAAATGTCTGAAAAAGTGCAATGACATATTCACATATGAAAAAGCCTTGCATAATTATATATTATTTCATCATTTAATTGTTTTACATTTTAGGTTTTAAATGTAGATGTAAAGAAGAGAAATGTAATTTTAACACACAAGAAAATGTTACTGAATACCAAGTTACCGATTCTGACAGATTTTGATCAGCTCAAATATGGGATGGACGTAGAAGGTTACATAGCAAAGATTACCAATAAAGGAGTTCTTGTAGCATTCTTTAATGGAATGAAGGTATAACAAATAAGAAATCGTTCAAATAATCAATTGATCAGTTTAATTATTTTAAAAAGAATATGTGAAGACAATTTTATAGATATAACAAGCCAACAACACCAGTTTACAAACTAAAGTTAACTGATTGATGGATGGATGTTCATGTCATAAGAAAAAACCCGTCATTGAACTGTATACAAATGATAGATTTTAAACAGTAACAGTCAGGACTTATTATCTCTTAACCTAGATACATTATTTTGACTCTGAGCCGACCAGTCTATACTCTTACTGGAAGAAAACTGAATGCTGAGCAGAGAAACAGTAAAATGACAATTTTATAGTCTTTGGTTTTGAAATGAAACCTACAACTTCCCTCACTCATCCAGATGAGCACACTACTTGAGATGTGTAAGGTCTCAATGTCCCTTTCAAAATGACTATGTACTATAATATTCAATAAAGACATTTCAAAAATGTTTATGATAATTATAGTTTATTAGATTATTTAAGATCTCATGAAGATCACACTCTCTTCCTCCAACCCTTTGTCAGCATTCACCAATTGTTAGGTTGCCGTTATGAAGACTTGTATGTAAACTGTCTCTAATAAAATATCCCTTTCATTTGTAAAATGTAAAAAAAAAATTATAAATTTAACTTTCAGAAATATATTTTTTTTTTTATTTCTTTCAAACCCATTTTACAAAGGAAACTGATAAATGATATACTGATTGTATTGAAGTTCATTGCATTATCTATTTGTAGGGTTGGGTTCCAAGGAAACATCTGAGCACTGAAAACATAGAATTTCCAGAGAAAGTTTTTTTTAAAGGTCAGGTGGTGAAAGCCAAGGTTTTATCTTGGAATGAAGAAAAGAAGACAATTATTCTGTCTTTTAATGTGAGTAAATGTTTGTATGTTGTGTCTACAAATTAAAGGATATGTGCGATAAAGGTCATTGATTCACCAGCTTCACATAAAAAAAATTTGAAAAATTGAATTCTGTGTTAAATGAATAACACTCAAATTATATGGGAAGTTCAAAGTTACCTAAAGACACCTGAAAGTACCTTAATTACTTCATGCTATATTCTGAAACATGAAATAAAGTTTTACTGATTTCTAGTGTATGATAAAAAGTAATAAAATATTAAAATATTTGTGTATGTTTAGGTTGGTGCTAAATCTTCATTTGGAACCAAAGAGGATGAAAGTGAAGATGGTATGAAGATCGGACAGGTAAGTTTCAACAGTTTAAGTATTATAAAATGATGACTGTTTTAGGAATATATAAGGTCATAAATACCCTGAATTGTATCAGACCAATAAACCTCAAACAAAGATATATCAAATCTGGTTTTGTATCTGTTAAATGATTATTATAACATTTAATAGTTTTTATATTTGAGAAATTAAGATCTGAGTGTTTACCCAGATATTTGTATAGATATTGAAGCTTAGTACTACTTTTTGTAAGACAAAAAAAGAATGTCAGTTTCCTTTATTGCTTTCTGAAATTAAAGAAAAGAAGGAGGACAATTGATATTTGATTTAATTGGAGTTAATTTTAGTGACAGGTAGTCATGTAAGATTTTATATACATGTTTTGTATTCTACAGATTATGCAGTGTGAGGTGACTGGAAAAACAGAAACAGGTCTAGATGTCAAACTACCATCTTCAAAACAAGCTTTTCTACCAATAAAGCATCTGACAGATTCCATGGAAACCAGTCATTTACTTCTTGATATGTATAATCCAGGAGATGTCATAGAAAATGTCATGTACCTGAGTAGAAATAATATGCCTGTATCCTTTATTAAATGCTTTTATGTGTTATCAATGCTCACAGAGGCATCCATGTTTGAAGACAATCTTTACTTTAATGGGAAAAAATAGTAATAAATATTCATTTAACTTCATGTACTTCATCTTACCTACTAGATAAAATATCTGTCATCGATTTCACAATTCAGCATTGTCTACATAACATTACAGAGAAAACAGAAAAGCAATCCAAAAACCACAAACAATCAATAGTGAATAACCAAGAAGGCAATTTTACTGTTTTACCCCTGTCAATCCTGTTGTCCCATGAAATTTCCTTACTGAATATTAAATGTTCTAACACAAAATGGCCGTATTTAGATTCTTTGCTCCTCAAATTTCTTTTTACTGAATATCATATGTTCTAACACATAATGGCCATGTATGAAATTTTGTCTTATTTTTCAAGTAAACTACAAATATAAGCTTCCTTGAAGCTTGGCTTCATGCTACATGCTTAACATTTTGATGGGTATTCACATTCATTACTCATTCGATTTCCTGTTTATCAAATACTTATAGCAGAAGTGGCATTTGTGAGCAATAGATCATAGTTGGACTTTTAAAAAACTTAATTGAGAGAAAATTTACCTCACACGAAACTCATTTTTGTGGTACATGTTTAAGTCTTTAAACTGATAACAAATAAAGTCCATAATAGTCTAAAAATAACAGTGAAGTACGGTTACCAAGAAGTAAACAAAATGAAACCTTAATTGATATATAGATAATGACAGCCAGAAAATCTATGATAGAGTATGGTAAAGAACAGGTGGCTGTTACATCCATCAATCAGATAAAGGTAACATTATAGTCATTACAGAACATTTGTTTAGTTGGTTAATTTTACATAGCTTCATGCACTGTTCATTTTTTAGGACACAATATTTTGTTATAATTTCCAACATCAGTCCGAATACTTCAATCAATCATGCATGTATTTTATTTTTAACAGATTGGCATGATGATACCTGGAACCATTCGTAATATAATGTCCTATGGGGTGTTTGTACAGTTTGCAGGTCATTTAGTAGGACTTTCTCCAAATAAAGTGAGTATAGTACTCAGAATCTTCACTGATTATTCATAACACCAATATTACAAATTGTACGTATTTGACTTCAATAACTACACACTAGAATTGAGAATGGAAACAGGGTATGTGTCAAAGATGCAACAACCCAACCGAAGAGCAGATAAAAGCCCAAGGCCACCATTGGGTCTTCAACGCAGAGAGAAAATCCTGCACTTAGGCGGGCTTCTGCTGGCCCCTTAACAATAATGTTAGCAAAATGGACGCCACACCAAACTCTGAAACATAAAAATGAACCAAAATTTAAAAAAAAAAAATACACAAGACCAACAAAGGCCAGAGGTTCATGACCTGGGACAGGTGCAAAAATGCATTGAAGCCAAACATGCCTCATGAGATCTCTACCCTCCCACACCTCTAGCCAATGTGGAATAAACAAACACACAGCAATATGCACAGCAAAACTCAGCCTAAAAGAAGTAAGAGTCCGATGTCAGAATAGGCAACAAGAGGAAACCAAGCAAAACAACATTTATGCTGCCTCATTATCATAGCTTACTCTAACCTGTAATGGACAAATATCTTCTGAAGTCCAGTGAGCATAACATGTGAAAAGATTTGTTAATTTTCAAGTATTCCATTTCTTTATTTAAGTTTGCTTCAGGACCCAAATTGGAAGATCTAAATACAATATATCACCAAGGGCAACCAGTCATTGCCATGGTAACAGAAGTGGACAATGAGAAAAATCGCTGTATTGTCAGTTTGAGAATGCAAGATTGTTACCATGGTAACGTAGATATTGGAATAGACCTTCTAAGTACATATCTACGGGAAATAGATAGTGCTTGGAATAAAGTTGTAGAGAAGAAAGGTAATTAATATTTTTCATTTGCTTTTTCTGAGTTTTGCATTTGAGTTGATATCTTGTCAAGTGTGTGTGAGTTAGAGGATCTTTTACTGTAAATTCAGAAATTATTGCATGCATTTACTTTTGTGATTGTTAAACAATCAACATAAATGCAAGTTTAATTATTGCGATTTTAGAATACGCTGCATACAAATAATTCTATCAAAATTTGAAATGCAATTTTTATTTTTGCAACACCTATCTTGTAGCAACTTTGTTATGGTGGATTACCTTTAATTTTATGGTTGTCTTAATAATGATTTCTTGTTTGAACATTTTATTTCTGGTGTTTATATTTATGTTTTTAAAAAAACTAAATTTTTGTAAATACAGGAAAGAAAAACAAGCTGAGAAGTGTGAAAATAGGGCAGGTAACAGAGTTTATTATAGAAGATTGTTCTGAAGATGGTTTACTTGGTCATGTGACTAATGGGGTCAAGGGCATCTGTACAAAAGAACATATGGATAGTAAGTGTTTTTGAAAATGACATCCAATTATCTCCCTTAGAAAATCAACTTGATAATTGATATAATAGGCCAAGTGTTCAAGGGCACAGACACTGTTGACATGGGGTCATATAAGCTTAGGTTAAAATGGAAAGACATAAATTTGCTATTGCAAATTTGCAGATATAACAATGTTGTGCTATATTTCAGACTAAGCATTTGTAATTTGTGGTATTGGCCCTATATTATCCTTGGTTATATATATGTTGTTCATCAAGTTTTCTCATATTTAGGCGTTTATCAATTATTTATCGTTTTTATTATAGATGATAATTATGGGGAAGGAAGTAAATTAAAATGTGTAGTTTTGTTTATTGATCCTAAAAACAAATGTGTGGAAGTGGCTGTTAATAAACATATAATAAAAACTGTAAACAGTAAACAGAAATCAAAACACAAGGTAAGTTGTACTATCCAACAAATCAATTGAACTTTTATCATTTCGCCTCACTCCCCCTTTTTAGCTCACCGGGGCCCAAAGGGCCCCATGTGAGCTTATGCCATCACTTGGCGTCCGTCGTCGTCTGTCGTCGTAAACTATTTCAAAAATCTTCTCCTCTGAAACTACTGGGCCAAATACCTTCAAACTTTAACTAAATGTTCCTTAGGGTATCTAGTTTAGAAATTGTATCCGAAGTTTTGATCCATCGACAAACATGGCCGCCATGGCTAAAAATAGAACATAGGGGTCAAATGCAGTTTTTGGCTTATATCTCAAAAACTAAAGCTTTTAGAGCAAATCTGACATGGGGGTAAAATTGTTCAATTGGTCAAAATCTATCAGCTCTGAAATTTTCAGACGAATCGAACAACCCATTGTTGGGTTGCTGCCACCGAATTGGTAGTTTTAACAAAATTTTGCAGTTTTTTGTTATTATTTTGAATATTATTATAGATATATATAAACTGTAAGCAGCAATAATGTTCAGCAAAGTAAGATCTACAAAAAAGATAATATGACCCAAATTGTCAATTGACCCCTTAAGGAGTTATTGCCCTTTAAAGACAATTTTACACAATTTGTTCATAAAGTTTGCTAACATTTAAAAATCTTCTCCTCTGAAACTACTGGGCCAATTACCTTCAAACTTTAACTAAATGTTCCTTGGGGTATCTTGTTTATAAATTGTACCCAAAGTTTTTATCCATCGACAAACATGGCCGCCATGGCTAAAAATAGAACATAAGGGTCAAATGCAGTTTTTGGCTTATATCTCAAAAACTAAATCTTTTAGAGCAAATGTGACAGGGGTTTAATTGGTCAAGATCTATCTGCCCGGAAATTTTCAGACGAATCGAACAACCCATTGTTGGGTTGCTGCCACCGAATTGGTAGTTTTAACAAAATTTTGCAGTTTTTTGTTATTATTTTGAATATTATTATAGATATATATAAACTGTAAGCAGCAATAATGTTCAGCAAAGTAAGATCTACAAAAAAGTTAATATGACCAAAATTGTCAATTGACCCCTTAAGGAGTTATTGCTCTTTAAAGACAATTTTACACAATTTTTGCTAACATTTAAAAATCTTCTCCTCTGAAATACAGGTGAGCGATTCAGGCTCTTGAGAGCCTCTTGTTCTCTTTTTCATATCAGACTGATTTAATAACCTTCAGAAGGGAGCTGAATTGGTAGAAAAAGAGAGGCGAAAGATATCAAAGGGACATTCAATTCATTCATTAGTCGTAAAAAAAACCATGGCAAAAACAAAAGGGTCTATTTATATCTGTATGGTATGACCTGCTACAAGAAAACTCCCTGTCACTTGTTCTTGTGTCAGAATGTGAGAAACTGTTAAAGCATATTAAAAATTATATAATAATCTGTTCTTTGTAGACATACTGTTAAAATCGCACATAAATATATCGAAGTAATTAATGGGACAGTACAAATTGAATTGAAGAGGGAAGAGATCTCATTAAAGGCCATGTGACAATGTGGTGTAAAAGTAAAACAAACATGCAAAATCCAATTGTTAAATACCAAAAACCTTCATGATTCCATCAAGTAGCACCTGCCTCATATTAATCATAAAATAATCTGTTCAAAAACTTACTGACAAAAATACCATTCCTTACCTCTGCTTTTACCAAGAACATCTTTGTTCACATATTCATGAATTTAAAGTTATTGCTGTATCTTGTTTTATTTATAGGCAATATTTGTTACTTATAGGTTGAGGTTGGTCAGCATGTAAAAGGGGAGATTACTCTGATCAAGAAGGATTGCATGATGGCAGTATTAAAAGGAAAAGAAGCTGGTACTGTGGTGTATCTTCCATCTAGAAGGGTAAGAGACAATTTTATACTCATTTTTTATTTCAAAGAAATATTTTTTTTTATACAAGGAAAAGACTGAAATTTATTCCAATCCATAAATGTTTCTGGTTCATTTATATAAACCATTATCCTTCTGTACATCCTTTTTGCTTATTTGCTCTATATTTTTATGAATGAATAATTTTGAATCAACTTTGTGTCATAATTACAATTATACATTAGAGCTGTTCCATTAAAATATACATGGTACCCAGGGAAGGCACTTTGAAAACAGAGTGACCACCCATAGAAGCGATTTTAGAGTCCTGCATAATTTTAAACCCGTTCAACACAATATTTCACACCCACCCATGGTGGCAAATTAGAGTTGCCTTCCCTGGGTCCCATGTATGTTTTTATGGAACAGCCCTAACTAAAATATCATTTAGTATTTATGTTTCTATGCCATACTAACCAGACTTGAATATAAAGTTGGTTACTGTTGAAGAAAGTCAGATAAATCTAATCTAATCTAACTTATCTTTAAACCCCTTTTGTAGAGGAACCATATTTTCATATGTAGAACAGGTGCTCTCTTTATATACAGTGCTGTTACTCCTTCAACCATTGGACATCTTACCATATTTACATGCTCAGCTGGGGTGCTCTCTATATACAGTGTTGTTACTCCCTCCACCATTCGATATCTGATGTGCGCATATTTACAGTGTTTATTTATCACGTATTATTGGAAAAACAGTCCTACTATATATAACACTTCAAATCCTAAATCAAATAGGTTAGTTGAAAAAGTCCTATAAAGTTCTAAATGTTCGGCATATTGAAAAAAGAATAAACAAAATACATAGAAACACATAAACATGTAGGAGATAAAGTATGTTTTTGGAAGATTAATCAGATATTTTTTTCTCTATTTACAGCATATGAATGATGTGTTACAAGTCTTCAAATATAATGTAGGCCAAGTCTTCCCCATGATAGTCAAAAGGTAGGCAACTTTGTCACTGGACTGTGAATTGTAGAGAAATTATTATATTTTTCAACCACTTCATATAGCTTTTTCTTTCAGTTTGATATTTTAACACAGAGTAATTGTATTATAACACAGAGTAATTGTATTATAACACAGAGTAATTGTATTTTAACACAGAGTAATTGTATTATAACAAATGTTTATATTGTATCTAATATTACTGTTAAGTAAAAAAATATTGAGGTACCATACCTTTAGAATTTTGATACATTAGTACTGGTCTCTATTTACTTGGTTTGATTGATGACAACTGTTTTGAACCTGTTTTAATTTAATTCAGAGAATCAGTTATTTTTGGTTCACATACATGTATTTGTTTTACTTTCAGATGTAATTTCTCAATTTTACATAAAAAAAATTAAAAAGAGTACTGGTTATAGGAATCTTGCTACATCATCAATAAGATCTTAACTGGTTTAAACTTGTAATTATGATAGCAAGATTAAGATACTTTTGAAAGTGTATATGAATTTAACAAAATGATATTAGACACTATAAAAATACAAGTAATCTTTTAAGCTTACAAACTATACTCCCAACAGATACAAATAATAACAAGTCAGATTATTATATATTTGTAGAATTATGGATGAGCATATACTGTGTTGTTTTGAATCTCACGAGAGACAGAGAAACAATAGTGAATGTGAATTACAGGTTGGAGACATTGCAATAGTTAGGTTAGTAGAAACACAGTTTATTGTTTATTTTTATAGAATTTTAAGAAAAGCATCCTAACTTAACCCCAGGTTTAAGGTGAGGTCCCTATTGCTCAATCTAAATGTTTCCCCAGGTTTAAGGTGAGGTCCCTAGTGCTCAATCTAAATGTTACCCCAGGTTTAAGGTGAGGTCCCTATTGCTCAATCTTAATGTTACCCCAGGTTTAAGGTGAGGTCCCTATTGCTCAATCTTAATGTTACCCCAGGTTTAAGGTGAGGTCCATATTGCTTAATCTTAATGTTACCCCAGGTTTAATGTTAGGTTCATATTGCTCAATCTTAATGTTACCCCAGGTTTAAGGTGATGTCCCTATTGCTCAATCTATAGTGTAAATTTTGTAAGCTGCAAGTTTTGATTTCTGAATCACTTGGACATTTGATAACAAGACAGATTTGTACATGTGTAATGTGCTGAAAATCAACCAGTCTATAGATACTATTGCTTGACAGAACCTTAATTTTAATATCTTAACATGGGACAGCTGTACCTTTGAATTATTATTCCATCTGATTTCAAAAAAAGATAATGCTTAAAAGGTCTATAAAGAAAAAAAAATGAAATATTGCCAATGATAAATACTCTTGTTACCATTCTAACCATTTATCTGTTGCAGTGTAAAGGATATACATACTCTTGTTACCATTCTAACCATTTATCTGTTGCAGTGTAAAGGATATACTTGATTTCCAGCTGAATGTGTTGTATAATTCAGTGCATGGTAGAATTCATTTGACAGAAATGGTAGATTCGATTGAAAATGTAAGTTAAAGATTGACAGACCTTCAGATAGTTAATTTCCATATGATCAACAAAAAGAATTAAAAACAAATAACAATTGCAAAAGGAACTAAAAAAAACACCACAGATTACATAATATATATTCCACTTTTGATTGAATAAGAAAGATGACTGAGAAATTAAAGTTGTATTTTACCAATGTGGATTCATTTGTTTATGATGGTATCAATTTTAATGGTTGCTCATATCAAAGTACTGTGACTTTAATGGATTGAGGAAAATATGTCAATAAGACAGCAACCCAATAACACCATATTCCTTTATGCTCTTGTAACATTCAGTCATTGTATTGCTTTGATTAATGAAATCTTTTTGATTAATGAATCACCCAATTAGGAATATGACAGTATCTACATGTCTGATAAATATAGCATAATAGTTTTGAGTTATGATCTACCTCACATGTTATGTTACTATACAGTAAGTGTATTGACTTTGATGTTTTACAGAACTGAGAATATAAGTATAGGAAAGAATGATATGTTTATTAACAACTTTTTAAATTATAAATATAAAATGAAAGAGATGTGGTTTGATTGTCAATAAGATAAGAGACGAAATGTTGATGATGTAAACAACAACAGGTCACTGTACGTCTTTTAACAATGTAAACAACAACAGGTCACTGTACATCTTTTAACGATGTAAACAACAACAGGTCACTGTACGTCTTTTAACGATGTAAACAACAACAGGTCACTGTACGTCTTTTAACAATGTAAACAACAACAGGTCACTGTACGTCTTTTAACAACGTAAACAACAACAGGTCACTGTACGTCTTTTAACGACGTAAACAACAACAGGTCACTGTACGACTTTTAACAATGTAAACAACAACAGGTCACTGTACGTCTTTTAACAACGTAAACAACAACAGGTCACTGTACGTCTTTTAACGATGTAAACAACAACAGGTCACTGTACGTCTTTTAACAACGTAAACAACAACAGGTCACTGTACGTCTTTTAACGATGTAAACAACAACAGGTCACTGTACGGCTTTTAACAATGTAAACAACAACAGGTCACTGTACGGCTTTTAACAATGAGTCCAACCAAAATTACTGTAGAGTTAGCTCTGAAAGCCTCTGGATAATAAAATGTGATACAATGCAAAGGAGAAACTAATGTCCTTATTTAAGCTAATTACATAAAACAAAAAAAAATAAGTTAACAACTTAATGAAAAATATGTATTTTATAGGGAACAACTGTTTTATCTCCTGGTAAATATAAACTTCAACAAGAAGTTAAAGCCAGAGTGGTTGGATTTAGAGAATGGATACCAAAGAAGTAAGTCGACTTTTATGCTAGTTTCGAAGTGATGTAGTTTATAAAAACAATGTTGAACTTCCTCAGTCAGATTTAATAGTTAAGGGTATGGATGTCAAATGGTATCTTGTAAATTAAAAACTCTTTAATGGTTGATTGTTAGAGGAATACCTTTTTTTTTTGTAATGTGCAATGCTATTGAAATAACAATGTTTAAATAATTTTTGCCTACCAGTACATATCAATATTTGGTGATGTAGGTTAAGTTTTGTGTTAAGTCATAGTTCTCAGAAACTTATTGTAAATAGAGAATATCATATGGCTTTTTCAATATCACACCCGTATCAACCCGAGACACCAATATAATCCCAAGAGCTCTACACTTTATTATATACTTCAAGTAGATGGAGTTTTTTTCACGTGAGTTGATGTAATACAGATTAGGGGTTTGATAAAGCCTTCACAAGCGTGACGGATATCAATGATGTGACGTCATAGAGTTTTAGGGGTTTAATAAAGCTTATGTAACCGTGACTGATATCGATATCATCACTGATGGTTGATACAGCACGATTGTCATTGATTGTATTACACATACAGTTTACCTGTATTTACTACTAAGTATATAATAAACCTGTATATTAATTACATTTCACAACTACAATCTTGTATATAGTTCAATGCTGTTCAGCAACATTAACATAATTGTGACTTTTATTTCCTATACATGCCAAATGTTTAGTAAGTGTTGACAACAGTTTTGGTCTTTGATCTAGACATAATATTTAGAGTCTTTAACCCAAGTTTGTGTTTGATTTGGCCAAGTTCAAACATCAACATTATCTATAATTATAACCTTTTTATGTTAGTATCTTTTGACTAGTGTTTAGGTCATTTTCTCTGAAACTTATTATATCAGTGATTTATTGCTTCAATCGTTTTTTTTTACATTGTACAACACAATCACATTGACTAACCTTTTTTATTAAATTTGTTTTCAGGCCTGGCATCCATTTCTTACAGACACATTATCTTATTGAAAGAGAAGTTTGCAGTTCAACCAATAAATAAATAGAAATTTTAATTTCAGAGTTTGTTTTGTGAATTGGTTAAAAATGTACAAAATTTGAGATGAATTATCTATGGGATACTGTCACAATAATTATTTATGAAAAATTGGTGCTAGTGAATGTAAAGAAATAAAAAATAACTCATATGATGGTGCTATTTTTACAATAATAGTATTTAATACTCAAAATTGACAACAGCACTAGTGTTGTTGTCAATTTTGAGTATTACTTAAGTGTTGCATTCATTTGCATTATTTGACAACCCGGCATACCAAGGTATCCACTTCATGGACTCTACCGAAAGGATTCACACAGGCGTTAGTTCACCAAACGGAGTTTAATAATAGTATTTGTATCTCTTACTTTAACAAAACTGATTTATGGTATTACTTTTTACATTTACAGAGAACAATCGTCTTCAAAGACTCTTTCCTTACCAGAGTTTACGATAAAACCCAGGTAATTAAAGACATTATGTTGTACATTCATACACACACACTCAATTTCCAAACTATGATATACACAAAAACAGCACAGAAGGTTTTTATGTTTCAGCAGATTCCTATTTATTAGTTTACTCACTATTTTACACATCAGTGTATAACTGAGTACCATTTAAGATTTGAATGGTTTTGTTTGTAGTTTTATTGGAAGGCCTTCAGACTATAAATGTGCCAATGGTCAAGACTTTTACAACCCTATAAACTGGTCAAGTTTTTTACAATCCTATAAACCTACAAATTAAAAGCACTCAAATCTGATAATTTCATTTCAATGCTAAAACTAAGAAATTACAAGTGAAATCTAGCTTCTTCTTTCTTTTCTTTTTTAAATATTCTTACACATTGTTGTAACCTTGTCATGTATAGCATATGCAGTCATGGATGTTGCAATTTATTTGAAAATAAAACATCGCTTTTAAACACTATATGATTGTTGTCTGCCAATTTAAATGATGGAATTCTTACGAGGCATTCATGTAATTATAAAACTGCAATATCCTTAATCATCATTTAGTGCCTTCAATTGAAAAAATATAGATAAGTTAGACATTTTGGTTTCAAAAAAATCATTTTCTCAAATTTTGGATATTTTTTATTTACAGCAATATGGAAAAGGCAAACTTAGATTCAGAACATAAGTTCCAGAAAAAAGACAAAGTTGTAGGATTTGTAACTAAAGTAAGACATTATATATTTTTGCTTCATAAATAAAATTACATTTACAATAAATTCTGAAACTTATTCATGCAATTGTTTTTGCAAATTCTTGACCTCTGGCAAAAATGAGAAATCTTAAATCTTAGAAAATCACTTCTGAAATTATGAATTAAATTTTTTATTATTGTGAACCTGATACCGTCACATTTATCACATTAATAAAAACTTGCAATAATTTCTGAATTTACCGTAGCTTTTACTGGTAAATATAACATTGAAGTAGCATATGATTTTACATTTTTAAAAAGAAATACATAACAATAAGTCAATGTCACAAGCACCAAACAACAGCCCTCACATTGAATGTATTATTATGTAAAGAGATGAAAATTTAAGATGTGAAAGATTAATTAAAACAATCTATTTCTATCCTTAGATATTCTATTTATATCCTTAAATATTCTATTTATGTCTTTGGGGAAGTATTCTTTTTATATCCTTAAATATACTATTTATATCCTTAAATATACTATTTATATCCTTAAATATATATAACATTAATGTCTGTCTATTTCAGTGTGAAAAAGATCATGTTTGGTTACAAGTCACACCAAAGATAAGAGGAAGAATTGGGTTAAATGATTTGTCAAAAGATCCAAAGGTTTGAACTTCCAGTATTTATTTTAGTTCAGAAAGGATAAAATGTGACAGGTTGTTGTTCTTGATAAGAAATACCTATATACAATGAGATTTCTGTTCAAGATATTAGATAGTGTATTTAAAAAGTTACTCTTCAAGAAATGACTACTGAATTGTAGTGACTGTTGAATTTGATCTGTAGGATGGATTATGAAGACTATATTACATAATTGTATTTCACCTTTTTACCTACCTATTTCCACACATTATCTTATTATTCAAAACTATAAAATTTATCTTTTTTGAGTTAGTGTAAACATAGTTTATTTATGAATTTTACTGGTACAAATAATGATACAAAGTATTAATTATACAATGAGTTATTCAAAATCAAAGCTTAATTACAGTAATAGATGTTCTGTATTTCTATAACAGGTGCTTGAGGATCCCACAAAACACTTTAAAAAGGGTCAAGGTTACAATGCTACAGTACATAATGTAATGAAAGATGGTGCTTTAGTACTGACATTGATAGGTAGGTATTCATTAGCAATCAAATAAACACATAATTTAAACTTAAAAAACTCCAGTTTATTCAGAAAATGGTATGTTTTTATGACAGTAGGAAAATATTACCTGGCAAATGAGAAAAGATTATGTAAAGTATGCAAATGACTATATTGTATATCTGAGATAATGCCCTTTTTATGGAGGTATTCAATTAGTAAAAGCAATAATTTATGGAAAGAGGTCTTTTGAATCATGGGGCCTGGGTTGTCTAAGTATTTCAGCTACTGTATCACTATCCTGTCAACAAAGAGGTTGTGAGTTTGAACCCCCCACATGGCAGGTGCTTTCAACTGTTAATTAATTAAGATTGCCAGTTTTCCTGCCAAAGGTCGTGGTTCTCTCCTGGCACCCTGGCCTCCTCCACCAATACACCAGGTCCGAGATACTGTAGTGAGTTATATTAGTCATGTGACTACCATCACCACATGACCAAAATGTAGGCATCCTCACTTCCAACACATGTTGAGTGTATGGGTGAAAAAATTTGATGCTATATTGCATGAAATTAAAACTTATTAGTTGGCCACCCTCCCTTCAGTTGTACAGGAATTGAGAATTCCTACCTACGGAACTTAAGGATGTTCGCTACTCTGTTTTAAAATAACAAGCTTTTTAAAAGACTGTTATAAATTGATAGTATATGAATAAAGAATCTAAAAAAGCAGAAAAAAATGAAGGGTCCATGTGCTTGTTTTCGAGAAATAAGCCATTGAAAATTTGGCGGGAAATAATTCTCTCTAGATTTTTCATACATTTAACATTGGCACCTTTTTTCTTTCAAAAATGATGAAAAAATAACAAGGATTTTATAAGATTTTCAAAGATGACATTTTAAACTATATGTTATCAAATTATGGAAAGAAAAGTAGGTGCTAGTGGGCAAAATTTTTCATGTCACTACATGGATAAAACCAGAGGATTCCGAATATATGGCAATAATTCAAAAACAAAAGGAGCGAACATCCTTAAATTATTTCTAGACTAACCTGCAGAATGACATAGAAAACATATAACAAATGTTTTCTGTTTACAGAGAATGCTTCAGAAAGTTTGACAAGTGGAAGTTTACATAAATGTGTTATAACATTGATTAAGGAGGACAGAGGATTATTTGTACACCTTCCTGGTGGTATTAGAGGTGTTGTAGAACTGACTGAGATATATGACAAGTACACAGATGATCCTACATCAGACTTCTATGTTGGACAGTATATAGACTGTTCTGTTATAAAACCTGGTAAAGAAGATCAACACTACTTGTCCTATAGAAAGTCCAGGTAAATATAATATCGTTCAATCTTTCTGATATAATGGGTGCTTATATATAGAAAGTCCAGGTAAATATAATATCGTTCAATCTTTCTGATATAATGGGTGCTTATATATAGAAAGTCCAGGTAAATATAATATCGTTCAATCTTTCTGATATAATGGATGCTTATATATAGAAAGTCCAGGTAAATATAATATCGTTCAATCTTTCTGATATAATGGGTGCTTATATATAGAAAGTCCAGGTAAATGTAATATCGTTCAATCTTTCTGATATAATGGGTGCTTATATATAGAAAGTCCAGGTAAATATAATATCGTTCAATCTTTCTGATATAATGGGTGCTTATATATAGAAAGTCCAGGTAAATGTAATATCGTTCAATCTTTCTGATATAATGGGTGCTTATGTATTCCTTATTTGTGGGATACCAATTACTGTAGATTTCAAAGGTAGGATTGTATTCAGACTTTGGCAAAACCAAAAAGTGCTAACGGTCTGATTTATGTACAAAACAATAAACAATAAATGAAAAACAAATATCATATACAGCAACAAACAACAACCATTGAATTACAGGCTCCTGACTTGGGACAGGCACATACAGAATGTGGCAGGGTTAAACATATTTGCAGGCAGCAAACCCTCCTTCTAAACTTGGACAGTGGTGCAACTGTTCAGCATCAGAACAAACTATAAAAATCAGTTGAATTCATATTAAATACATGTCTTTTAAGGTTTTATTTGCTGTTTGGATTAATGCGGTCTCATTGATGTATGCCCCATATCTTAATTATACAAAGCATTCAAGTATTCTAGTAATTACTATGTAAAAAGTTTTTTTTTACTTGACCAGATTTGCAACAACTAATTGTTAAAATAATTTTAATGAATGTATGGTTTTCCTGTATGTAATGTGAGGCAATTATCATTGACATTTGTGTTGTTTCAGGAAAGTACACACCAAAAAGATAGTAGACCCAGTACAAAGTTCTGTAGAAAAAGGACAAATATTACGAGGTTATGTTGTACAAAGTACAAAAACACAGCTGCTGGTCAGGTATGTTTCCCAAATGTATTAGGATGAAAACACAGGTCAATAATAAGTAACTTAACCTTTCTCAGAAGGTGGTAAATATATGTGATCCTAGTGTCCTAACTTTACTCAGAAGGTGGTAAATATATGTGATCATAGTGTCCTAACTTTACTCAGAAGGTGGTAAATATATGTGATAATAGTGTCCTAACTTTACTCAGAAGGTGGTAAATATATGTGATCCTAGTGCCCTAACTTTACTCAGGAGGTGGTAAATATATGTGATCATAGTGTCCCAACTTTACTCAGGAGGTGGTAAATATATGTGATAATAGTGTCCTAACTTTACTCAGAAGGTGGTAAATATATGTGATAATAGTGTCCTAACTTTACTCAGAAGGTGGTAAATATATGTGATAATAGTGTCCTAACTTTACTCAGAAGGTGGTAAATATATGTGATCCTAGTGTCCTAACTTTACTCAGGAGGTGGTAAATATATGTGATCCTAGTGTCCTAACTTTACTCAGAAGGTGGTAAATATATGTGATCCTAGTGTCCTAACTTTACTCAGGAGGTGGTAAATATATGTGATCCTAGTGTCCTAACTTTACTCAGGAGGTGGTAAATATATGTGATCCTAGTGTCCTAACTTTACTCAGGAGGTGGTAAATATATGTGATCATAGTGTCCTAACTTTACTCAGGATGTGGTAAATATATGTGATAATAGTGTCCTAACTTTATTCAGGATATAAGTTTATATGATCATAGTGACAAAATGAAAAAGAAAGTACATGGTGTATCAATTCATGACACAAATCACATCATACCCATGGAAAAAACAAAAGCAAAGACAGCACATTTATTGCTGTTCTTCATCTCAAACTCACAGTAAGGTCTTCAAAATAGAGCAAGAACTCTCTTCTCACTGCAAACCTGGCAGGAAATTAATTAAACTGCATAACAGTTGCAATAAACTAACTGGCCCAAAACAACAAAATGAAGTAGTACTCATAAGAGAAGTTATCCAAAGAATAAATAAGCTATAATATACCTAAGCAGCAGAAGAGATGAACTCTGTTAATATAATGAAAAAGTAAGGATATGGTTTATAATTCATGACACAAAATTATTACATACCATCTTTAGGTGTGTCTAGTACACATTTTTTTACCCCCAAAAAGTAGTTGGTAGAGGGGGTGCGTATTATACACAACTATAGATGTTTTTTTATGATTTTTTTTTTATTAATAGCATTTTTTTTTCATTATTTTATATGTTCAAGACATTTTTTATTTTATTTCTTTATTTGTAATTTAAAAAAAAAACATGTTCTTATTCTATTTCATTAAGATATTTACATAATGTATATTTTTTGTGTATTAGTTTAGCCAATCAGGGTACAGTGTCAGGAACAGTCACAAAGTCATATGTATCAGATCATGGGGTAGATGATGTCACAGCAGCATTCCCAGTTGGCAAGGTTGTTATAGTCAAAGTTTTAAGGTAAACAATACATATTATAGAAATTTGCAACATAGGTAATAAGACTTCATAAGGAATGCAGGTTGTACAATATTTTATGCTTGTTGAAATGTAGTGGAAAAAATTTGAAAGTTGTCTATTTGCCCATGTGAAATACTGTCAGGTCATTTTTATTTATAGAATATATCCACATTAGGGAATTTTCAGTGTTGTATGGTCCTTGAGTTTACCGGTAATATTTTTCTATTTTGGAACCTTGGATTATCCATTTTTTTATGACCCAGAAGCAGCGGAGGGGGCTTTAAGGTTTACCCTTGTTTGTACGTACGTCAAGAAATTGGTTTCTGTTCTCTAACTTTAGTTTGTCTCAACCAAATGTTATTAAACTTATACACAATGCTTATAACCAAAAACCTCAAATCATGTTCAAATTTTGGTGACGTCACTTTTACCGTTCTGGAGTTATGCCCTTCATAAATGGAAAAAATGGTGAACTTTTCATTTCGGTTCTCTAATTTTAGTTTGCCTCAACCAAATGTTATGAACTTATACACACAAAACACAGATCAAGTTTGATTTTGGGTGGTGTTACTTTTATATCCCTTTATAATGTTATATGCAAGCCGGGGCATCATCTGTGTCCCATGGACACATTCTCTATTTTTTTTTACATTGACTTTTTACGTAAATCAAGTATAAACTGATAAGTTTCATGGGGTATAACTCCTACATTTTTAACAATCATTTGTCTTTGACTGGGCTATGGTTTAGTTATATTTATAAATTTCATTTCAGCATCTCTCCTAAAGTAGAACTCTCACTTAGGGAAAGTGACACTGGTGTTAAACAACCAAAATCAGACAAATTAAAAAAGAAAAGAAGAGATTATTTAAATTCAGAAGAGGAATACACTGTTCAAAATAATAAAAAGCAAAAGAAAAGTAGTGAAAAAAGAGATAAATCTGAACTGACTAAAGTGAAAAAATTGGACCGGAAAAGAAAACTTTCAGAATTAGAAAACGCTAATTCATCATTAACTGACTTTTATAAGAAATCAAAGGGGACAGGCGACTCAGACAGTGGGATAGAAGATGTGTATCCAGGTTATCCTTTGCAGGTAAGAGATTAAAAGGGACAGGTGACTCAGACAGTTGGATAGAAAATGTGTATCTAGGTTATCCTTTGCAGGTAAGAAATCAAAAGGGATAAATGACTCAGACAGGCTACTGATAGTGCCAAACAGCCCATTCTGCAGGTCTCATGGTTCATGTAAGAACTGCAAGTACCATAATATTTAGGAGTAACAAAATTTCAATAAGAACTTTGTTCAGAGTAGTATATATTTTGTCTGTATAAATTTCATTATATTGTCCCCTGTGCTACCAGTTGCGAGGGACATAAAAATATATCAGATGTCTGTCTATATGGTCATGTAAGGGCTCTCACATGTACAATTCTTGCCAGATTTTAATGTAAATTCATATCAAAGGTTATTGTCAGCAATGTCTTGGACAATTTTGAAAATCAGTTCCAAGGAACTATTTGTATAGGAGTTGTGCCCCTTGAAAATATAAACTACAGTTAACTTTCATTGTCTCGAACTCGGTTGACTCGAAATTTCGATGAGTTGAAGTTTTTCCGTGGTCCCGAACTTTGTTCCATATAGTTATATGTATTTTGACTCCTGCTGAGTCGAGATTTCGGTTGACTTGAACCAAATTTATGGTCCCAAGGTAAACAAAAGCATTCAAATTTCATTATTTAACTTGCACTTATACACATACGTTGAAACATGACCTCAGTGATTTAAATGGATAAAAGAGTGCATGTGACAATACACATGTAATTAAATTTCTGGTCACTGACCACTGTATTGATTTATGACATTTTTTTTCTACGAGTGTTTACCTAAGATTATCTTTGATCACCATGATAAATGATTGTGATATAGTTTATGAAAAATTATTTAAAATGTTTTAAAAACAATTAATCATAATCATACATTAATAAGTTTGGTTGTGCTTAAAGTAGGGATTAAGACTTAGTGATCAACTCAAAACAACTCTCTTGCAGAAAAAATTCAAATAAAAGAAAAATGAAAAGAAATCTAAATTTTCTAAAATCTCTTGTATACGAGAATGAACAATTTTCTCAACTTTTAATCACAATTGTTTTGAAATTAATATTTCAGCTAAAAACCATAGGAAAAAATTGTAACTATATAAAGAAATATATAAGAGACGAAAAATCATATAATTTTATCAAATTAACAAAAGACCATTACATACAGATACATCGATCTCTGACCAGAATATTGATCCCCTGCTCATATGCATCTGGATTTATTTTAGCCTTACCAAACCAAACAAGAGTTGTGTCCCTTAGTCTGTCAAACTTCCAGTATTAGTTTGAGTCGAACTAAGGGTATCTCGAAATATTTCTGTGGTCCGGCTTACTTTTAGATAATGAGAGTCGACTGTAATTGGAAAATTACATTGTAAGCTCTCTCAAGCCTATAATTCTTGTAGGATTGTTATGAAATTTGCATTGAAGGTATATATCAGCAATGTCTTTGAGCAGTTTGAAAAGTGCTGATCAATTATTCTTACTTGAGTTATGTCCCTTAAAAGTGTAAAGTCTATTTAAAATTGCATTGGAAGCTCTCACAAGTTTACAATTCTTGCTAGAAATTTGTGAAATTTATGTCAAAGGCTTATATCAGCAATGTCTCAGATAAGTTCAGAAATCAATGTCAATATTATTTTTTATAGGAAGAAATGTAAATTCTACACAAAAGTTCATTGTAAGTGCTGATAAATGTACAATTCCTGCAGGATATTTATGAAATTTATGACACAGGATTATATCTGCAGAGTTATGGACAAGTTTGAAAATCAGTGCTGATGAACTTTTATCAAAAGAGTTGTGCCCCTTGGAAATTAAAATTATATAGAAAATTGCATTGTTAGCACTCTGAAACCTACTTTTCTTGTAGAATTGTTATGAAATGTATATCATAGGTTTATACCAGCAATGTCTTAGATTAGTTCAAAAATCAATGCTGATCTATTATTTTTACTGGAGTTAGTCACTTTTAAATGTAGTTTATATTAAGGATTACATTTACAACACCATTGTCAAGTTCCTGTCTTTTAAAGTGTAGTATTTATTGTTCTTTCATTTCTCTGTTAAAATCAGAAGAATCATCGACCATGTGTTCAGATAAAGAGTGGATGGTGCTGGGATACTGAATACAAATCTCCAGTGATAACTAGATCTACACAATCTGATACTGAAGATGATGATGAGGAGGAAAACTCTCAGGTAAACATTATATACCTAGTATTTGTAAATAGAATGTATGTAATTGTATATGATTTCTTCTATTATAGTGTGGTTTTCATATTCTTTATCCTTTGGTTATTTGTGTTGTTCTAACTTATTATACTTATTCTTTATCACATGTACCAAACAATAGTAACAAAAAACTGTTAAAGTGATTGACTTATGGATCGTTTGAAACAAAACTAGTTTTATTATTTTAGATGTGTTTTTTTCTTATTAAATTGACCTCAGACCAAGAGTTGCATTATTTGTCCTACACTAAACAACTAAATATTTTTTAAAGCAACCATGAAATAGTTACTGACTTAAAAAACATATTAAAACAAATCAAATCTCATCCTTTTCTCCTGATTATAGGTGGAATCAGACCAACAGAAAACTCCAATACAGAAAGACAAGAAAGAAGAAGAAAAGAATTTATTTCAGGTATAAAGATCATATGTTGTTTTGATCTCCTTTCCATACTGTGGTCAAGGGAAATTCTCCAAAGTTGTGATTTCTTTGGCATACTTCTATCAAATTAATATCATTTAATATCACCATAAAACAACCTTAGTAAGATATTGACTTCATTTAACTTTAATGTGTAAGACATTTTCTTTGGGACATTTGTTTGGGAAATTATCTACTGTGATACTAACATAAACTTTACAGTATTTTAAATTTTAGTCTGACATTTTGTGAAACATTTAGCTGGGTTTTCTGTGTATTGTGTGTCCTATAACCGTAAGTCATTACTTAAAGAAAATGTCTACTGTCAACAAACAGTAGAGAAAAATCATACAGTGCCTTTAATTTTCATCCAGTAGTAATAATGGCACCCACCAAAAAAACACTTTTTTATTCTCATATCTTTTTTTTATAAGACATTAACACATAAGTAGAGTTTGTTGTTTTTTAAATTTGAATTTTTGTGCATGTTTTAGAAATATGCATTATTTCTGATGGATACACCTTATACAAAAATGTTTATTTCAATTAAAAATAATTTGAAAGGTTAGTATGACACACTGATGTTAATTAGTATTTTGTTTTAATTAGATGAAGAAAGGGATTTGGTTTTGTGATAAACAAGTCATGTAAAAGATAAATGATATAATATCTGATTTTAGTTTGAGCAGCATCAGTTAGTAGGGGACATAACTCCAGAAGCAGCAGATGGTTTTGATAGACTTGCTCTTCAGTCTCCTAATAGTTCTATGGTCTGGCTTAGATATATGGCCTTCCACTTAGAAACAGCTGAGATAGAGAAAGCAAGAGCTGTGGCAGAAAGAGCTCTCAAAACAATCTCATTTAGGTAGGTTTAAAAACAACTTAGAAGCAGGAAGAAATCAGAGCTGTTTTATTGTCGTGCCTGCGACTTTTGTCGCAGAAAGCTTGACATAGGGATAGTGATCCGACGGCGGCGTTAGCTAACTTCTTAAAAGCATTATATTTTAGAATGTGGAAGACCTGGATGCTTCATACTTTGTATATAGATGCCTTATGTTATGAAGTTTCCGTCTGTCACATGTCCATTGTCCTTGACCTCATTTTCATGGTTCAGTGACTACTTAAAAAAAAAGTTGTGATTTTTTGTAATGTAAATTTCTCTCTTATTATGAGTAATAGGATAACTATATTTGGTATGTGCATACCTATCAAGGTCCTCATGCCCGTCAGACAGTTTTCACTTGACCTAGACCTCATTTCATGGATCAGTGAACAAGGTTAAGTTTTGGTGGTCAAGTCCATATCTCAGATACTATAAGCAATAGGTCTAGTATATTTGGTGTATGGAAGGATTGTAAGGTGTACATGTCCAACTGGCAGGTGTCACCTGACCTTGACCTCATTTTCATGGTTCAGTGGTTATAGTTAAGTTTTTGTGTTTTGGTCCGTTTTTACTTATACTTTATGCAATGGGTCTACTATATTTGGTGTATGGAATGATTGTAAGGTGTACATGTCCAACTGGCAGGTGTCATCTGACTTTGACCTCATTTTCATGGTTCAGTGGTCAAAGTTAAGTTTTTGAGGTTTGGTCTTTTTCTTATACTATATGCAATAAGTCAACTATATTTGGTGTATGGAAATATTCTATGATGTACATGTCAGTCTCGCAGGTTTTATTTGACCTTGACCTCATTTTCACAGTTCATTGCTCAGTGTTAAGTTTATGTGTTTCAGTCTGTTTATCTTAAACTATAAGCAATAGGTCAGCTATATTTGTTGTATGGAAGGATTGTAAGCTGTTCATGTCTGCCTGGCATGGTTCATCTGACCTTGACCTCATTTTCACGATTCATTGGTCAATGTTTAGTTTTCTTGGTTAAGTCTGTTTCTTAGAAACTATAAGCAATAGGTCAACTATATTTAGTGTATTGAATGATTGTAAGGTGTACATGTATTTCTCGTTTGGTTTATATGATCGTGACTTCATTTTCTTGGATCATGTTAAGTTTATGTAATAGTTGTAGTAAAGCTTTCATTTAGGACTATCAACATAATATCAATGGTTAGTAAAGAAAACGAGACATTTTAGCGTGTGCACTCTTGTTTATGTATGTTAAGGAACATTTGGGTTATAGAAAGCTAGAGTTAAATTACAGAATTTTGAGAGATATTTGTAATGTTAAATGTGAGATGAGCACACTGGAAATTCAGAGAGATATTTGTAATGTTACATGTGAGATGAGCACACTGGAAATTCAGAGAGATATTTGTAATGTTAAATGTGGGATGAGCACACTGGAAATTCAGAGATATTTGTAATGTTACATGTGGGATGAGCACACTGGAAATTCAGAGATATTTGTAATGTTACATGTGGGATGGACACACTGGAAATTCAGAGAGATATTTGTAATGTTACATGTGGGATGAGCACACTGGAAATTCAGAGAGATATTTGTAATGTTACATGTGGGGTGAGCACACTGGAAATTCAGAGAGATATTCATAATGTTAAATGTGAGATGAGCACACTGGAAATTCAGAGAGATATTTGTAATGTTACATGTGGGATGAGCACACTGGAAATTCAGAGAGATATTTGTAATGTTACATGTGGGATGAGCACACTGGTTTTCAGAGAGATATTTGTAATGTTACATGTGGGATGAGCACACTGGAAATTCAGAGAGATATTTGTAATGTTACATGTGGGGTGAGCACACTGGAAATTCAGAGAGATATTCATAATGTTACATGTGAGATGAGCACACTGGAAATTCAGAGAGATATTTGTAATGTTACATGTGGGGTGAGCACACTGGAAATTCAGAGAGATATTTGTAATGTTACATGTGGGATGAGCACACTGGAAATTCAGAGAGATATTTGTAATGTTACATGTGGGATGAGCACACTGGAAATTCAGAGAGATATTCGTAATGTTACATGTGGGATGAGCACACTGGAAATTCAGAGAGATATTCGTAATGTTACATGTGGGATGAGCACACTGGAAATTCAGAGAGATATTTGTAATGTTACATGTGGGATGAGCACACTGGAAATTCAGAGAGATATTTGTAATGTTACATGTGGGGTGAGCACACTGGAAATTCAGAGAGATATTCATAATGTTACATGTGAGATGAGCACACTGGAAATTCAGAGAGATATTCGTAATGTTACATGTGGGATGAGCACACTGGAAATTCAGAGAGATATTTGTAATGTTACATGTGGGATGAGCACACTGGAAATTCAGAGAGATATTTGTAATGTTAAATGTGGGATGAGCACACTGGAAATTCAGAGAGATATTTGTAATGTTAAATGTGGGATGAGCACACTGGAAATTCAGAAGTATCTGGGGCACAATAATAAAAACTCCCATTCATAATTTCAGTAGTGATTTTGCTTCAATAAATTTTTGCATTACTTGCCAATGGTCAATGATCTGCAATAATAAATGCATGCATTTAATTTTGAATATACAGTTTGTAACATGTTAAAAGAGATATCAAACCCCACTCGTTTATGTTGGATAAAATAAACAGATGTGAAATTAATGGCCATAACAAAAATCACATCTAAAAATTTACTTGGAAGTAGGTTTTGTAATTGATTATGAACAATCTGGTAAGTAAGTTAATAGGTGAAGAGCTCAAATTCAGTATCTTTCATATATAAGTACTGACATAAACAAAAACAAAAACACTATTTTCAGTTTACTTTTGTTAACATCATGACCAGTAGTTGTTTCTTCTTTGTAGAGAAGAACAAGAAAAGTTGAATGTTTGGGTGGCATACCTGAATTTAGAGAACATGTATGGTACACCTGAAGAACTGGCTAAAGTTTTAGAGAGAGCATTACAACAGAATGAACCGCTAACTGTCTATCAACATCTCATTAATATTTACTTCAAGGCAGGGAAGTTCCAGGTACAACAGTGTAGAAAAAAGTCATACTATCATCTACAATATTTAGTAACTGACAGATTAAAATTAATGTCAAATTTTATGCTACAATTTTTATGCTTGGCTTATACTAAAAGTAATTATGAAACTCAATATGAAAGAGTAAGAAAGATTTGTTTACCTGATAAAGGAGAACCAGAGCAATGTGATATAACAATCAATAAAAAAATTCTTAGACTATATTTAGTGGCAATTATATTAGTCATTTCTATAAATTTAATATTATTTCCAATATTTCTATTTAATTATTTTGTAGGATGCAGAAAACACTTACAATATTATGTGCAGGAAATTCTCATACAAAAAAGAACCTTGGATTGGATTTGGGTTGTTCCACTTCAAAAATGGGAACTTTGAAGCAGCCAGAAAGATTCTGCCAAGATGTCTTAAAAGTCTCAGCAAAGAAAATCGTAAGTTACTTTCTGGTTGTGAAATTAGAAAATGAAAGTTCTTGAAATTTTGAGACACAATATACATTTGGAAACTTCGTGTTTACAGCAAAATGTGATGTAATTAAAAATTAGGTAATTATTAAACCCATTATTGGGGAAATCAATACAAATGGTCAAACTGGCTGTACTATGTAAGCAATGGTCAAACTAGCTGTACTGTGTAAACAATGTCCAAACTGGCCCTACTGTGTAAGTAATGGTCAATTGGCCATAATGTGTAAGCAATGGTCAAATTGGCTGTACTGTGTGAGAAGTGGTCAAACTGGCAGTACTATGTAAGCAGTGGTCAAACTGGCCATACAGTGTAAGCAATGGCCAAACTGGCAGTACCTTGTAAGCCCTGGTCAAATTGGCCATACTGTGTAAACAATGGTCAAACTGGCCGTACTGTGTAAACAGTTGGCAAACTGTCCGTTCTGTGTAAGCAAAGTGTCAATTTGCTGTACTGTGTAAGCATTGGTCAAACTGGCCGTACTGTGTAATCAATGGTCAAACAAGTTGTATTATGTAAGAATTTTCAGATATTTCATCCTGTCACTTCATATTTGACTACTTTTAATTGTTATTTTACCTACTGAGTATGGAACTTTTTGTCAGTGAAGCAAGTTGGTTATACTTTGCATGACATCGATTAAACCTCTTGTTTTGCACACAGAATCTTACCATAACAATAAAGCTATGATTTTGATTTTTTTTCTTCAGATGTAGAAACAATAGCCAAGTTTGCCCAGATGGAATTTAAGCATGGAGAACCTGAGAGGGGGAAGACAATGTTTGAAAACATTCTAAGTAATTATCCAAAACGAACAGATTTGTGGTCAGTGTATGTAGATATGGTGATTAAAACTGCTGATATAGAGGCCGTTAGGTATGTAGCATTTTACTTACAGTAGTATTATACCTATCTGATTGTCAACTGTACACAGGGGAATTTATTTATTACACTTATCACTTTAATTTGAGTTATAAATAGATTGGTTAGTTTAAACATATTTTATTGTCCAAAAACATTGACAATAGGATTAGACACAAGTTTTGCAACTTAGAACGTCTTCTCCATTACATACAAATAATAAATAACCGAACAAAATAAAATACATAATAATAACATCATAAACAATATTAATATGGAGACATGAAATTAACAAGAATTTAAACGACATGGCTCATCGATTTCTAAAAGTCGAGTTGACCGTAAATTTATTTATGATAGACCTTACTAGGTTGTTTTAAATTTGGAATAAATATTCACTCAAAAGGTAAGTTACTACATGTATTTCAAAGCAATTAAATTAAATTGTTGTTGTCAACTGATAGGATTTTATATATAAATCAAATTGATGATCCATGTCTTTGGGAAAAATGAACAATTTCATTCGAAGTCAACAAAAAGTAATTACATTATTATTGTTATATAATTAACCATAATGTCTATACACTATGAAAAGCGATTGGTCTCTTTGATATAATTCTGCACTTTTGTAAAAATTAGCATGTTTATGTTCATATTAAACATATCATTACCGTACATTAAAGTTTCCAAGTCAGTAGGTATATTTTCTTTTCTAAGTTCAATAAATAGATTTGGTTATATTGAGGTTAAATATAACACAAAACCCTTTGAAACCATTTGGCCCAAAATCAAATGTGTTTAAAAGTTTCCATTTAAACATAATATGCACTTGAGTAAAACATTGATATTTTTGTTCGAAACATTATTTTCCATAGGCTATACAGCCATAACATAACAATAAATACAGTCCAATGGTATAACGGCATAAAATTACCGCTGATACAAACATGCAGGGAAAAATATAAAGCTCAGCTCCCAATCCCAAAAAACATTTTTTAAACAGTCATAATATAATGTCATTAAGCCACAGCTGATAGTAACAAGTCACTTTAAACTTTCATTAGAATTTTGATCAATAATTTTATAATTGTTGGCCAGTTGAATTAAGTGCAAATATGAATATAAGAAGATGTGGTATGCTTGCCAATGAGACAACTCACCACCAGAAACCAAATGATGTTGAAAATTTGCCACTACAGGTCACTGTAGGGTCTTCAACAATGAGCAAAACCTATATTGCATAGCAAGCTTTACTGAGCCCCGAAATGACAAATGAAACGATTCAAACAAGAAGATTAATGTCTTATTTATGTACAAGACAATAAATGAAAAAAATAGATATACAGCAACAAACAACAACCACTGAATTACAGCCACCTGACTTCCTCCTCCCTTCTGTATAAATTAACTAATATTTTCATTCTTTTGCAGACATTTACTGGACAGAGTTATACATATGAAGCTGTCGGCCAAGAAAATGAAATTTTTCTTCAAGAAATATTTAGACTTTGAACAATCTCATGGAGACAATAAACATGTAGAATATGTAAAACAGAAAGCATTTGAATATGTTGAATCTAAGGGCTTTGTGGATGAATAAGTTTATAGTTTTAATATTTTTAATGGCAATGAAACGTTTTATGGTAACACAGGGATGATTTTTGCCTTAGAATAAAATTTATTGAAAGGAGTAGCTAATTAGGCTAATATTTGCCCAAGAAAATGAAGTTTTAAAATTTATAAATAATATAAGGAATGCATAAAAAGAAGAAAATAAATGAATAAGTCAAATTTTTAATGTTATGGCATCAAATGACATCATAAGATGCATCTATTTTATGAAAATGGAAGATTTTATGCAGTTTTTCCATCTTTATTTTCTTTGTAGAAACATTGTGTGCAGTTAAAAACAAGCTTTCTTATAGCCATTTACATAATCTTAATAAATGTAAAGGTTTTTTTTAGTTGTGCATACTTTTCCAATCCCAAATATACTCCGAAGCTGATACAAAACAAGGAAGATGAATTTTACAAAATATTTATATTTGGTTAGTATTTAGCCATGGTCCCTTGACAAAGGTAACATCTGTGTTTAAATTTCATGCGAGATCATTTATTGTAACTTTTTATTTTACGCTAACTTTTGGCCCTTACTGTTATTATTATTATTTGCACCTACTCCTTTATATGAAAACACCTCATTCTTTCAAAAGCAATTTTGTACCAGCTCTTACTTATTTCAACAACATTTGAAAACAAAATTCAAGAAGCAAAATACTTGATAAAAGATATCCCTGGTTACAAAATATTGACCTTGAATATGTTTAAATGTTTCATCTGCAATATAAATGTAAGAACGAGTCAGATGGTTGTTTTATTGATATCATTTATCGTCATTGGAATGAATCTGATAACTTAATGTTGAATCGAAGCTAAGTATGAATCTATCAAAGTGAAAGTGTTTGTGAGAAATGATTGGTGTATTGTGAATGATCATTGTAAGAAAGAATGTCAATATAATTATTATTTAACTTTGTCATATAGATATGTGTTCATACTCTGATGAAATACAACATAGTTTAAAAATCTTATCTTGTTTACTAGTGGAAATAATAACCGTACACCAACATGTTCCTGCAAACCTTTCCCATCAGAGGAGAAAATGTTTTAGTTCACAATCAAACAAGGTCAATTTGCACACACGAGGGAGTCTCTTCCTATATGAAGGTATATACATATGTGCCGCTGGAATGGGTTTCCGTTTTAGATACGTCAAATATATCAATGGGGTGCAATTTTACCGAGGAAATATATCAATAGGTAGTAATTATGACCAATTGTGATATATCAATGGGTCATCATTTTTCAGTTTGTTGTGCAATGATCTTTACTGAATTTCCCAAACTCTTTGTCATTAAAATTTCCATATCTGCTGAAACTTATTGACACAAGTTTTGTTATTGATCAAATTTTATTACACTGTCACAATTAATAATCTTTACCCACTTGAGTATAGTAAAAAAAGTCACATATCATATCGAACCTTTTGCACTTATTGAATATATGAATGGGTTATGATTTCGCTGTGAAATATATGTATAGGTAGGGATTTCACAATATTTCAATATATGAATGGGGGGTGTTTTTTAAATCCCAGCTGCACAACTGTACCCAAAATCCCATGTTGAGACCCCCGTGTTTGCACAAAATTAAGACCAGTAGTAGAGTTCAACAATTTGAAAGTTGTCAAGACTGAGAGAGTTATAAAGTGACAAGGAAAGACACTCTTGTTTACAAAATCAATTGCTGTGATGTTTTCATTAACTGTTTTCTTGAACCAGTGCTACTTAAAACAATATATAAGCAATTGTTCACTTGGTTCCATTAATTAAACTTTGACACACTTTATACTTACCTCTGTTCACAACTGAAAAAGTTTTAAATCTTTGACTCTTGCAACTCTCTAATGCAAGTTTACAATGTTCAAATGTTACACAACGTATCAATGCAATCGGAATCATTAGCCCCAACATGAAATGAAAAGGGATTTCGGACAACCTACTACTCCAAAACCAATATATTTTTTTGATTTCTTGGTGAGTTTATTCATCCCCTACATGAGTGCACATGCTGAGATGTCTCATTTACTTGATTGAATTACAGTATATGTTGAGTCTTTAAGATCAAGGTTTTACTATATTTATCGATAACCTTGACTGGATCAATGATCCATGAAAATGAGGGCAAGATCAGATGAACCATGCAAGACAGACATGTTCACCTTATAACCATTCCATACATTTAATATAGTCCACCTCATGCTTAGTTTCTTGACCACTGAATCCTGTTTTATGGACAGTTTACCTTGCAATGATTCTATGTACCAAATAAAGTTGTCCTTTTACTCAGTTCTTCTACCTTCTGAAATTTAAAAGCTGAATACAAATAGTTTACACCACCACTAGATTAGCATCCCTGTCTGAAATTCTCTGACTTAATACAAATAGTTTACACCACCACTAGATTAGCATCCCTGTCTGAAATTCTGTGACTTAATACAAATAGTTTACACCACTGCCAGATTAGCATCCCTGATCCTGTGACTTAATACAAATAGTTTACACCACCGCCAGATTAGCATCCCTGTCTCACATCCTGTGACTTAATACAAATAGTTTACACCACCACCAGATTAGCATCCCTGTCTCGCATTCTGTGATTTAATACAAATAGTTTACACCACTGCCAGATTAGCATCCCTGTCTCACATTCTGTGACTTAATACAAATAGTTTTCACCACCGCCAGATTAGCATCCCTGTCTCACATCCTGTGACTTAATACAAATAGTTTTCACCACCGCCAGATTAGCATCCCTGATTTTGTGACTTAATACAAATAGTTTACACCACCGCCAGATTAGCATCCCTGTCTCACATCCTATGACTTAATACAAATAGTTTTCACCACCGTCAGATTAGCATCCCTGTCTTACATTCTGTGACTTAATACAAATAGTTTACACCACTGCCAGATTAGCATCCCTGTCTCACATTCTGTGACTTAATACAAATAGTTTACACCACTGCCAGATGAGCATCCCTGTCTCACATTCTGTGACTTAATACAAATAGTTTACGTCACTGCCAGATTAGCATCCCTGTCTCACATTCTGTGACTTAATACAAATAGTTTACACCACCGCCAGATTAGCATCCCTGTCTCACATTCTGTGACTTAATACAAATAGTTTACACCACTGCCAGATTAGCATCCCTGTCTCACATTCTGTGACTTAATACAAATAATTTACACCACTGCCAGATTAGCATCCCTGTCTCACATCCTGTGACTTAATACTAATAGTTTACACCACTGCCAGATTAGCATCCCTGTCTCACATTCTGTGACTTTATACAAATAGTTTACACCACTGCCAGATTAGCATCCCTGTCTCACATTCTGTGACTTAATACAAATAGTTTACACCACTGCCAGATTAGCATCCCTGTCTCACATTCTGTGACTTAATACAAATAGTTTACACCACTGCCAGATTAGCATCCCTGTCTCACATTCTGTGACTTAATACAAATAGTTTACACCACTGCCAGATTAGCATCCCTGTCTCACATTCTGTGACTTAATACAAATAGTTTACACCACTGCCAGATTAGCATCCCTGTCTCACATCCTGTGACTTAATACAAATAGTTTACACCACTGCCAGATTAGCATCCCTGTCTCACATCCTGTGACTTAATACAAATAGTTTACACCACTGCCAGATTAGCATCCCTGTCTCACATTCTGTGACTTAATACAAATAGTTTACACCACCGCCAGATTAGCATCCCTGTCTCACATTCTGTGACTTAATACAAATAGTTTACACCACCGCCAGATTAGCATCCCTGTCTCACATTCTGTGACTTAATACAAATAGTTTACACCACCGCCAGATTAGCATCCCTGTCTCACATTCTGTGACTTAATACAAATAGTTTACACCACCGCCAGATTAGCATCCCTGTCTCACATTCTGTGACTTAATACAAATAGTTTACACCACCGCCAGATTAGCATCCCTGTCTCACATCCTGTGACTTAATACAAATAGTTTTCACCACCGCCAGATTAGCATCCCTGTCTCACATCCTGTGACTTAATACAAATAGTTTTCACCACCGTCAGATTAGCATCCCTGTCTTACATTCTGTGACTTAATACAAATAGTTTACACCACTGCCAGATTAGCATCCCTGTCTCACATTCTGTGACTTAATACAAATAGTTTACGTCACTGCCAGATTAGTATCCCTGTCTCACATTCTGTGACTTAATACAAATAGTTTACACCACCGCCAGATTAGCATCCCTGTCTCACATTCTGTGACTTAATACAAATAGTTTACACCACCGCCAGATTAGCATCCCTGTCTCACATTCTGTGACTTAATACAAATAGTTTACACCACTGCCAGATTAGCATCCCTGTCTCACATTCTGTGACTTAATACAAATAGTTTACACCACCGCCAGATTAGTATCCCTGTCTCACATTCTGTGACTTAATACAAATAGTTTACACCACTGCCAGATTAGCATCCCTGTCTCACATCCTGTGACTTAATACTAATAGTTTACACCACTGCCAGATTAGCATCCCTGTCTCACATTCTGTGACTTAATACAAATAGTTTACACCACTGCCAGATTAGCATCCCTGTCTCACATTCTGTGACTTAATACAAATAGTTTACACCACCGCCAGATTAGCATCCCTGTCTCACATCTCACATTCTGTGACTTAATACAAATAGTTTACACCACTGCCAGATTAGCATCCCTGTCTCACATTCTGTGACTTAATACAAATAGTTTACACCACTGCCGGATTAGCATCCCTGTCTCACATTCTGTGACTTAATACAAATAGTTTACACCACTGCCAGATTAGCATCCCTGTCTCACATTCTGTGACTTAATACAAATAGTTTACACCACTGCCAGATTAGCATCCCTGTCTCACATTCTGTGACTTAATACAAAGTTTACACCACTGCCAGATTAGCATCCCTGTCTCACATTCTGAAACTTAATATAAATAGTTTACACCACTGCCAGATTAGCATCCCTGTCTCACATCCTTTGACTTAATACAAATAGTTTACACCACTGCCAGATAAGCATCCCTGTCTCACATTCTGTGACTTAATACAAATAGTTTACACCACTGCCAGATTAGCATCCCTGTCTCACATTCTGTGACTTAATACAAATAGTTTACACCACCGCCAGATTAGCATCCCTGTCTCACATTCTGTGACTTAATACAAATAGTTTACACCACCGCCAGATTAGCATCCCTGTCTCACATTCTGTGACTTAATACAAATAGTTTACACCACCGCCAGATTAGCATCCCTGTCTCACATTCTGTGACTTAATACAAATAGTTTACACCACTGCCAGATTAGCATCCCTGTCTCACATTCTGTGACTTAATACAAATAGTTTACACCACCGCCAGATTAGTATCCCTGTCTCACATTCTGTGACTTAATACAAATAGTTTACACCACTGCCAGATTAGCATCCCTGTCTCACATCCTGTGACTTAATACTTATAGTTTACACCACTGCCAGATTAGCATCCCTGTCTCACATTCTGTGACTTAATACAAATAGTTTACACTACCGCCAGATTAGCATCCCTGTCTCACATTCTGTGACTTAATACAAATAGTTTACACCACCGCCAGATTAGCATCCCTGTCTCACATCTCACATTCTGTGACTTAATACAAATAGTTTACACCACTGCCAGATTAGCATCCCTGTCTCACATTCTGTGACTTAATACAAATAGTTTACACCACTGCCGGATTAGCATCCCTGTCTCACATTCTGTGACTTAATACAAATAGTTTACACCACTGCCAGATTAGCATCCCTGTCTCACATTCTGTGACTTAATACAAATAGTTTACACCACTGCCAGATTAGCATCCCTGTCTCACATTCTGTGACTTAATACAAAGTTTACACCACTGCCAGATTAGCATCCCTGTCTCACATTC